ACAAGGTATAAAAAACTCTTAACTGCCAGTGCCAAAGGGCTAATTTTTAAGTATCTGAGCTTTATGCAGTCTTGCAAAAATATTGGTCATAGTCTACTTGGCTTTTATGTAACCTTGGTTCACAGGTGGTTGACTTTTTTTAAAAAATGGGTCTACTCTCAATAGAATGCATAACATTGTTTTCTAAAATTACATTCCATAACTATCTTGTTATTCTGTAGAAAACTGTACAGAAGGTAAATAAATTAGAATAGCTTCAATGGGAATATAATTTAAACTTTTAAAAACTTTAAATAAATTTACTTCCATTGTGGTAAAAGAAAGAAATAGGTGGCTTGTATATTTCAGCAAAAGAAAGCTATTCTCTGGTTATAAACTTTGTCAGTGTTAAGTTATTTTTACTCTTAAACGGTTTTTTCCTTGCGGTGATAACATGAATTTACGGTTTCTGATCATTACTAAGTCTATATGACTTGTCATGGCTTTTGTGAGCAGTTATGTTTTAAAAATACCTGTTTTGCTTCTTTGATTAATATGGTGAGCATGGATGCCAAAATTATTTTTTAACTAGAGTCTTCATTTTGTTTTAAATATTTCTTATATTTGTGACAAGCCAAATCAGAGTTTTAGAAGGTGCTACTGTTAACTGTGGAATAACTGGCAACAAGGAAGCCTTTTTCTTTCTTTCTTTCTTTCTTTTTAATGGTTGGCTTTTACTGGAAGAAGGTATTTAAAAAATAGCAGAATTTATAGCTTTCTGTATGTCCAAGATTAAGAGTGGGTTGTCAGAGTTTTCTTTTGTTAAAGGAAATAAAAGAAAAATTGCCACTACTGAATTTACTATTCTAAAGATTCATTCCTTAATGCTTAGAATTTCAGTGTCTCAAGACCAGACCAGTGGACGTGCTGAATTTGCATTAAGAAAGCTAAAACACTTAACTTCGCACTTTAAGGTTTATGTTTTACTCTGCCTAAATTAATGATAAGCAGAGCAGCCCTGAACAATATTTTGTCTATACAATCCTGTTGAAGAATATAATTTATGTTTTTTAAAAGTCTTTATTTTTCATCTCTGTTGAAGCTGTGTAAATCTTTTTAAAATGCAATTTTTAAAGTTTCGTTTTTCTAACAAAATTCTCCCAAAAAACAGCATTTCCAATGGTGATAAATATTGTTACTGTGTACTTATGTATTCCCTATACCTGAACACTTGTTGCTGCCTCACAAGAAAATAGAAGTTTTATGTTAAAAATAAAGTCTGTTCTTCTTGAATCTTTTTCTGTGTACTTTTATGAATGTTGCCTCAAATTCAAATTTCTTTCTTTTCAGACATTTCTAGCTTGAAATAACTTTAGTATGTTCTTTTTCACAGATAGAAAAATGAATTTGTGTTTGTGTTAGGTAGCAGGATATAAAATATTGTCAGTTGTTACTTCCTTGCTACCTCCTTAACTTGCTCTTGAACTGAAAGCACCTGATCTTTGTGTTAAGTGCTAAGCAAATGTTAAAATATAAGCAAGCATGCTGAAAGATGTACCTGTTTATAGGTAATTCAGCACTTTACAGGTTGTTAGAGAGTTAGCTGGGGGCAGTCACCTAATTTCATTCTAAAGTACAGATAGAGGAGTTTTTTCCCCGTTTGTTTTGGTAATTCATTCTTTCTGCTTCCTTTGTGTCGGTGGTTTATAAATGCAAGACAGTTGTTTAGGCTGAAGGGTTTAATCTGTATGAAGGCTGCACGCAGTATAATCATTTAGAAAGCAGGGTCATCTTTTAAGTGAAATAAAAGTGTCACCATAGCTGCCTGTCATAAAAAGTGGTCACCAAATTACTTTGCAAGAAATTCTAAAAATTATTTCTGGGGGTAAATGTTAACCAGAATTTGGAGATTATATCTATAACATTATAATTAAACAGCAGCAAACGTGAAGAGAATCTCTCAAATTGGCGTAACATTTTCTCCCATTCTTTTTACTCTCAGTCTTTTCCTTCCACCTTTAAAGAGGTTGAGAGGAGCAAATTTAGATCTCAAGTTGGGTGTTCCCATCTTCCCCCATTTATTTGATTTTTTTTTTTTTGCTTTGGTTCATTAGTATTAAATATACGCCCTCCCCCCCAAAGTTTTTAGGTCTATAATGATCCTTTCCTTAAAAGATCATTATAGACCTTTCAGTTGCTTTCCTTAAAAGCAACTGAAAGTTGCTTTTCAGTGGTTGGATGTGAAATAGTATCCTCTTCCTAGGAGTTCCCTGCCAATGTATATCAATATCATTTTTTTCCCTTGCTAAGATTATGTTTGCTTTTTAAATATTTTAAACCTCTATTAGAACATGGTATGATAATACAGATAGCCTTTGTATCTCTTTGGTTCAGTGTTTCTCAAACTGTTTGGGTCTTGAAATGAATTAAGTGGGTCCAGCCAACATTTTTTTTTTTAATGAAGCAGAACAGGAAACAAAAGTATATTGAAGACATCAGGGAAATAGTATTTGTATGTAAAGCTTTTGCTAGCCATAGGAATATATTTGTACTAGGTTGTGAAGTAAAATATATTTCTTACTGTGAGTTGTAATCAAAATGATTTGAAAAATACTGTTGTAGATACAACTTCTGTATATGTGTTTTGGAGTTGGTCTGGTATCTTAACACAGATACTGGAGTCTTTAAATACATTGTTTCTACTTCTCTTTACTAAGCATCTCCAAATTGCTGGGTTTATTTTTAAAAATTCTTGTCTTTTCAGCAGTTTGCATCTTCCTCAAACTGAGAATTTATTGCCATATACTCTTTGATTTTATACAGTAGCATGGATGAGTCATGCTTAATCATTGTGTTTTAGAGAAGACTGTCATGGAGCTCTGATGGCCAGAAACCCAGGAGTATGACCATTCATCTCAGTACCATGCCTTAAGCAGTTAGTTTTTGAGATCACTGGGATGATTCAGAGGAGTTGCAGGGAAAGCCACAATGTGGGTACTACTTCTGGCTCTGCAGCTTAATAGTCATGGGATCTTAGGCAAAGAAGTCACCTCTCTGAACTTTAGTTTTCTTATGTGATTTTAGGAAATGCTGATGCCAGTGCTGTCAGTTAAATGGCTAGTGAGTGTGAAAATTACTTAAAAATCTGGAAGCAGACACATGTTATCATCTCCTTTCTATTTTGTTAGGTAAGTTTATTCATCCCTTAGGAAAGCCACAAGTTGCTGGTCACGGAAAATGATCCCATAAAATTCATTTTACCTTGTAAAGTATAATATAGTCAAGGATGTTGAGCTGAATCATAATAAAAATAGGTAACACTGACTGATGGCTTTCCAGGTGCCAGGCTTGGTGCTTACATGAACCCTGTGAAGCCAGGTACTGCTAGTTACTGTCTTATACATTGCAAAATTGGAATTAGATTAATTTATCCATGGTCATACATCTGGGAAATGTCAAAATCTGGCTTTGAACCAATTCTGATTCTAGAACTCAGACTTACTGCTACTTCTCCTATGACAGTGACATTAATAAAGTATAGGTGTTTGGTATCATCGCAGATTCTGTGCCCTTGGGTCATAGCCTTGTTTGTTCTTTGTGGTCTTCTTCATTGCTTCAACTGCTGGCATCTTGGTTCAGAGGGTGAAAACAAAGTAACCTGGTTAGACACCACTTCCTGACCAAGATAGGTAGTGACACAAATCCTCAAGCTCTGGGTTTTAACGTTGCTATAGCTGCAGAAATTCAAAAGAAATATTTTCTTTAATTTGGGGAGCACGTCTGTTAGAGAGGCAGAAAGTAGCAACTTCACATTTTTGGTGGATTTTTTTTTTTTTAACTGACTTTTTGAGGTAAAGACTTAATGAAAGTAATTTTTTAACCTCAATTACTTGGTATGCCCATTTCAGACAGACTATAAAATGAAATCACCTAGACCAGGGCTCCCCAACCTTTCTGGCACCAGGGACCGGTTTCGTGGCAGACAGTTTTTCCATGGACCGGAGCGGGTAGGGGGTTCAGGCGGTAGGTAATTCAAGCGAAGGGTAGCAGCACATGAAGCTTCGCTAGCTCGCTGGCTCGCCGCTCATTTCCTGCTGTGTGGCCCGGTTCCTAACAGCAGGGGGTTGGGAACCCCTGACCTAGGATCACAATTTAGTTCATATATAATATTAACAGTAGTTATTCCTGTTTGGTAGGTTGGTGGATCATTTCTTTGTCGTCTACTTTTACAGACTTTTAAATGAGAGTATTACTTTGAATTGGGATAAAGAAAACAACTCTTTTTTCTTTAATGTAAAAACATGCCCTTCAAAATCTTACCTGATGACACCACTCAGACCTTTATCTCCAGGTTGTACTTATTTTTGGACATTGGTTTATTTACACCACTGACTAGAGAACCATGTCTTGACTTTAGATGCCAAGGACAGTTCTTGCTGAACTCTTTAGTCTTCTTTTAAATGGCACATAAAACATGGAAGAAATTTTATGTTGGGCTTATGGATGTGACCCATCCTAACGAACAAACGTTTTTCTTCCTATCCTGTTCTATAGGTTTTCTTTGCTATATTTAAATACCTTACTGTTGTGTTTTAAATGCATTACTTTCAATACTGCTGAATTAGTTAATATTTTAAAGTTTGTGTTTCCTTCCTAGTTTAATGTCTATATGCCAAGATTCTGGGTCTGCTTCATTGCTCAAGGTAAGGAAATGCAGGGCTCTGCCCGTGCTATGGAAGGTAGAAACAACTGGATCAATCAATCCTGCCTTGCTTTTTATTCCTCCCTTCAACAAATCAGGTTAAATGTTATGGCTTATATTTCACTGGTTATTGCTTCTAGGCTCAAAATTCTGCTATTTGTTTGTATTTTGTTACTGAGAGTATTTACACAAAGAACACACATCCTGTTATTTCCCATATCTTACGCCACGAAGTCCCTCCTGCATGAAGTAAATTAGAATCAGTCTCACAAAGATATTAATTGCCCTGGTTTTATTTTCATTCTGTGGTATCTGTATCATTCAAACTACTTTCTTATTACTATGGTCCTGAGGTAAAACCCAAGTTTTTGAATAGAGAAACAATAACTGGATTTGTATTGTATTGAACACTTGAGCAAATAAACTTTGCTTTATGCCATCTTGTAATCTTTATTAAAAGAGGCTCAGAAAAATAGCACATTCAAACTTCCTTTGTTCATATGCTGTAAGACCTCTACACTTCCAGATGGTCTATAAAGATAGCTATGTGAAATATCCATAGTTGAAATACAAACACTTTTTCATTGTGCAAATACCGAAACCTGTTTCGTTAAAATACAGTTTGTTTCTAATCACATCAGTTATGTTTTACAATTAATGAAAGATTTCAAAAAATACAAAGTTATACCAATTTGATCTTAATCTGCCCTGGTATTCCTGCCTCTCTTATAAAGTGGCTGAAGAAAGATTAGGCAAATTTTTAGTTCTTCTGGGGCTCTTCTAAGTTTAAATGCATTCTTATTTGGTATTAAAAAGTATAACATAGCTATTTCCCCCCATTTAATATAAAAAGCATCCATCTATTTGAAAGAGTTGTTCTCAGCCCACCCTTGGTTAAGGTTAATTAATATACTTCTTATTGAATGGTTATTCTAGATTTAACCAGGAAGCAACTGATCACTTTTCTGTTCTCTGTTTATCCTGTCCTTCCTGTCACTCCCTACTGAATATGTGCTTGGTTTCTTATTTTAGTTTGTCTTTTATTTTAGCTTTCCTATTATACCTATTTTAGGTGTAATATAGCCAAATTTCTGTTTCTGGACCTTAAATTAATGACTGAGCTTCAAATAATCTTGAGAAAATGTGAATAGTTACCTTCATTTTAATAGCAAAGTTTTAAATGTGCACTTCAAAAATGCAGTCAGACTTGCTGAAATTATAACTAGACTTGCTAAGGCAGTTAATGTTGCTCTGAGGCTAAACAAGCAACTACATACTCTGTTGAAAGCGAAAATGTTAGAGAAATTAAGAACTGAAGAATAAAAATCCTTGTATGTTTCTATTTTTTGATAACCTTTGCTCTTGGAAAATTGGGGTTAGTATCCCCTTCACATTCATGGTCTAGGATTTGGGCCTGGAGAGACTAGTGATTTTCCTCTGCGTTGAGTGTCTTTGTTTACATGAAATAACAAGGACTGCTCTGCATGCATGTGAGGAAGCGATACAAATATTTTTGAACTAATGCATTAGTGAAAATGAAAGAAAAATGGCAAAAACGCAAGACATAAAATTAACATTTTCTGAGATACTTCAAAGTTGAAAGCACAGAGCAACCATGGGTATAGAATTTAGATAGTGATTCATAATTATAACCCCTGGTGATTGAATTTTGGTGGAACAAAGACAGTATTGCATTCTGGGGCATTAAACTGAATAAAAAGGGAGAGTTACAAAATGCTTCTTAATGGTTAACCAAGTAAAGAAATAGGAATAAGCGTGTGAAAATATTTTAAGGAAGGATTTACATAACCTTAAGTCCATGTTTCTGACCCTCAGATACGGTCTTTCCAGCCTACACACTACTTGACCACAGTTGTGGTTTTCTAAATAGCTTGTGGGCAGTTCAGACTGTAGTTAGGCCAGACTGTTGTGGATGGGAAGTGGACTGCATTTTATCTGCCCTAGTCCATTCCTAAAAAATGTTTTTCTGTATACAGAGACTCAGAGATTACAAGCAGTTCTCTTGTAAATAATAATTAAGCCTGTTTAGAACTAGGAGTACAATGAAAACTACTGTGAACGTCTTAGTTAAAATGTTTTCTTATGCAGATGCAATGGACTGGATGACAAACAAGACACCTGGTGAACTGCCTCAGAACTAAAGGGTGGATGGGAAAAAAGAATAGGAAACTGAGTGACTGTGTGTATACAGTGGCTATGTTTTCATTAGCTTATGCTAACTTCATTAAATAGCCTTCCTTCCAATACTTAGACTCTAAACCTTTTAAGGGTAAGTTTGTCCTTAGTAATCAAATAGAGCCTCAGATGATGTCACCCACAGAAAAGTGGAAAAACACTCCCTTACTGATGGTATAGAGCTTTCTGTAACTTTGCCAGAAAGCATTCTGGGTTAAATCATGTCAAGAAATGTGGGGGTAGTAAGTATTGCAAATCTGTACGAGGGTAAGTTAATTAGAATTCTTTTTCCTCATTCAGATAGAAGTTTCTGGGTCATTTCAGGAACACTACTGCCAGTTGCTCAGGGAGTATCCTCCCCTCATTTTCTTTCAGGAAGCATATGAATACAGTACATTGTAGTAGCAATGTGTGAAGAATCAAGCCTGAAGACACTTGGACAATGTCTGAAGTACCACCAGAGGATGGACATTCTTGTGGTTTATAAAATGGGAAGAGAGGTTTTTCTGTTTATGCAAAGGATGGACTTCTTAGCAAATAAATCATCCTGCTACTTCCCCAAGAAAATTCAATAATGAAATCGGGGGGTGTCCATGATTTTGTATGAAGGAAAAAAACTAAGGAATATTACATTTTAGCTTCCAAGTGGAGAAAACAAGCACCAAGTTTCTCTGTGATTTCACTGAAGCAAATTGAGTTCTCAAATCTTATTCTACCTTTCTAACTAAAGAAAAAACTGGTCTGGTTCTAGTGCTATTTTCCACAACAGAGAATTCCCCCTGCCACCGTTTTATTTAAAAACCAACCCCCAATCACAACCCAGTTTACATGCTGTCCTTTCTCTAGATACAGAATTCTCACAGCCAGCAAGGCAACTTATACATAAAAGGCTTTCCAAACAGATAAACACAACTCCTACTGATAATTATTCCTAGCTGTTATTTTTGAACTAACTTTTGGTATGTATTTCAGACTCAATAGTTTCTAATATTTTCCATATATTATCAACAGCTGCAAATCCAAGATATTAAAGAGATAATGTATTAAAACGTGGTCCTTTCCATCTGTCTAACCTTGCAAACACAAGGTTTTCGTATATGGGTGACAACATAAACTCCTTTCCACAAAGGCAGTTAAGTTGCAAAATTGGTGTCTCAAGGCCATCGAAGTGGCATCATAACTTCAGTCAAGCATTAAGAAGTTCATCATCTGAGTGTCCAATAGCATCTGGGTTTGAAAGCGGATCCAAGTCTGCAAATAGATTGAACCAGGCTGACATGTCTTGGTTACCACTGTTGGGAGCTATTAAAAAAGAAAAAAACACATTAGAGTCTCAGATTTTAAAAATCACATTATTGTACCACTTTTATGATTTTAAAGTAGATGCTTCTTTTGAATCAAATTTAAGAAGTTGACAAGTATAAACATCAATTACGTCTCCTTGAGGATAATTTTGAAAAGCTAATGCAAATAACCTCATGCTTTGCTGAGGCTATTTAAGTAATTGCATGTTGCTCTGAGAAAGGACTTGATTAAAAGTGAAAAGGCAGGAAGTAGAAGGCTCTCAGGTAAGTTCAGAATTTAACCTTTGTTCCTACAAAGTCGGAACATTACACTTGTAAACTTAGTATTTAAAATCTATATTTATTATAAAAGTAATATTAAAATACTAGACATAGGGGGGAAAATCCCCTAATCCTATCACATTTCCATGTGTACTTTAAAATTTTTGATAAATATATTATGGAAAAATACATATATATATATATATTATGGAGTGGGTTATGTCTCGGATACGACTTCCTGTTTGTTACCTGGCTGGAAAATTGCATATATCGATAGTGTACAAGTTGTGTGGCAGATAGTCAAGGATACACATCTATACTGAAGGCTGGGACTAGTAAAAAACTGTGCAGGGCGCAGACAGTGGGTCATCTCAGAAAGCTAGGCTCTTGAAGGCCAGGGCGTCCAGAAAGCAGGGCTGAGAGCCAGGGGACAATCTAAAGACCTAAGACCAGGGACGCAGTGGGCAAAGGATGGAAGGCAGTCCTGCTCAGAAGAGTCTAAGGCAACCCTCTCTTATAATCACTCATGGTTACCAATTTCCACGGATCAGAGGGCTGGAGTTTGGGCTGTGGGGATCCCAAGCCTCAGGGATCAGGACAGAGTGAAAGGCTGCATTGTGTGTCCAGTTCTGCTTCTGGGAACCCCAAGGTAGTGCCAGTGATACCCACACAAATTCTGGCTTTGAGTCCTGGGTATACTACCTACTAATAAGTAATAATGGGCAAGTCATTTAACTTCAGGGGCCCTTGCTTCCTCATCTGTAAAGTAATGGTCATATAATTTATTATTTTTAAAATTTTTATTGGAGTATAATTGCTTTACAATGTTGTGTTAGTTTCTACTGTACAGCAAAGGATTGTAGGCAAATAGCAGCTTTCCCAATACCTCAGCCTTTTCGTGTTCAATTCTGAAATTTACTCACTTTTATAGTCTCTATTTTTAATAATTTAGCACAATTCAGTTTACTGAGTTTAAGAAGAGAAAACTATAATTATGAATAGTCTGAATCCCTAAGGGATGGCTGTATTCAGAAGTGGCTGCTGTGAATCTGTGATTTGCTTGGAATTGATGGATTCCCCAATCGATTTATCCCAAAGCATTAGGAAGAATTAAAATAGGGTTCCAGGAGTCCACAATGATACATACCAACAAATAAGTAAAAAATGAGGGACAAGACAAAGCTTTTCCATATAGTAGAACGTAACTAATAAAGGCGGAGGGGAGACGTGATGGAAGACCGCCATTTGGCAACAGCCACCGCAGGAATTATCAACGAATGCTAAATTAGCGGGTGCAACTTTGATACTCAGAAATAAGCCATTCACACAGTTGCAAAATATTTTTCCACATGATAATTATTAATTACAAAGGGAAAAATATAATAGTAATTTGACAGTGAACAAACCTGGCCGGCACCACCTTAACCAAGTGATCAGAGTTAACGTTATAAGCAATAGGACAAAATAGACATCATGTGCCTCCTGATATGGTTTATTAAGAACACACAACATCGTTCCTGTGCTGCTAGTCTTGCCAAAATGCATAACACGAGTCTAATTATGAGACAACATCAGATAAACCCAACTCAAGGAATATTCTACAAAACAAATGGCCTGTACACCACAAAAAAAGCCAAAACGATGAAAGACAAAGATTGAGGAACTTTTCCAGATTAAGAAACTAAAGAGACTTGACAACTAAATACAATGTGTGATCCTGGTTTGGATCCTGGACTAGGAAAAAAATCTTCTTTGTTACAAAATACATTAGTGGGACAATTGACAAAATATGAATAAGGTCTATAGATTACATAATAGCAGTGTGGCAATGTTAATTTCTGATTTTGATCACTGAATTGTGATTTTGTGAAAGAATGTCCTTGTTTTTAGGAAACAGATGCTTAAGTATTTAGGGGTGAAGGGGCATTATGCCTGCTACTTAGTCTCAGAATAATTTCAGTTCAGAAGAAATTACATACATATTACACACATAGAGAGAGACTAAGGTGAACATGGTGAAATCTAGGTGAAAACATATAGAAATATTTTGTATTTTTGCAAGCCTTTCTGTAGGACTAAAATTATTTGAAAAATTTTAAATATTGATACCACAAGGATTCAGAAGTCAGCCTGAAAGGGCTCCCACTGGTCAACACAGGGGCAATTTGAGCACCAAAATGATTAAGTACAGTAGTGATTATAAACCATCGAAAAAATACGAATCTATTCTGACAATAAATACATTCGTAAATGGGGAAGAAGGTATTTTTTTGTTTACAGCAGGGTATTGATGGATGGTGGAAGGAGCCAATTGTATATAGCATGTGAATTATATGTCAATAAGGATGTTTTAAAAATGTGATTAATGGATGAATGGATAAACAAAATGTGGTATATCCATACAATGAAATATTATTCAACTTTAAAAAGAAAGGAAATCCTGTCACATGCTACAACCTGGATGAACTTTGAGGACATTATGCTAAGTGTAATAAGTCAGTTACAAAAAGACAAATACATTCCACTTATATGAGGTATCTAAAGTAGTCAAATTCATAGAAACAGAAAGTAAAACGGTGGTTACCAGGGCTGGGGAGAGAGAATGGGGAGTTAGTGTTTAATGGGTGGAGTTTCAGATTTGCAAGATGAAAAGTTCTGGAGATCCGTTTCACAGCAATGTGCATATACTTAACATTACTGAGCTGTACACTTAAAAATGGTTAAGATGCCAATAAAGATGTTAAAAAAAATGGTTAAGATGGTAAATTTTGTTATGTGTTTTTACAATAAACAAAAGTGGAGGGAGTGCTAGGGTTGGAAAAATCACTTTTCATCCATCACAATAAAGACTGAATGAGGCAAAAAGCAACAATGGATGCTAAATCTATGTGGAAATTCTGACAAAGAGCAGGACGTGTACAAGGTCGCAAAGTGTCTCCCCACAGACTGCTTAGTAATTGCAAGGGAAGATCAAATAAAACAAAATAGTAATTGTATAGGAGAAAAACTGGACAACACCTTGATAGAGTGGTCAACATTAACAACACCCATGAGGGAGAGAGGAATAACTTTGAGATGTGAAACCCTGAGAAAGGAGCATCACCTATGTGTATTCTAGTCAGGATAACCTGACTAGATATATTCAGGATAACGAATAACCTAAATTTAATTATAAGGAGACCTCAAATAAAACTGAAATAAGGAGCAGTCTATTAAAAACAAAAAACAGTGGACCAGAGGGGCTATATTCTTTTAAAATGCCCATGTCCAGAAATCAAAGAGAAGTTGTGGAAATGTTTCAGATTAAAAGAGACTAAAGGGACATGGCAACTGAATACAATACATGACCCTAGACTCTCTGTCCCAGAGGGGGACAGTGCCATAAAGGACATTATGGAGTCAACTCACAAAAATGGAATACACATACATGGTGGATCATAGAAAAGGATTATGTTAATATTAACAGCCATACTATGGTTGTGCAAGAGAATATACCTATTCTTAGGAAACACAAACTGCAGCATTAAGGGGTAAAGGGTCATGGTGTATGTAACTTACCCTCAAGTGGTTCAGATAAAATAACACACGCATTACACACACACACACAAGCCTGCATAAAGCAAACGGGGTAAAATACAACAGGTGAATCTGAGTAAAGGATATACATGTGTTCTTTGTGCCATTTTCATTTATGAAATATTTCTGTACGTCTGAAATTATGTCCAATTAAAAAGGTAAATCAGCATCAGTGACTAAGATTAATATGTATCTAAGATCCTGCAAGACAGAGAATGTGTCAATTTTCTATGTATATCCTACATGGTAATTACAACATGGACCAGCTCTGCAGACAAAATATAGTAAGTACGCCTAGAGCCCGTGCTCCGCAACAAAAGAAGCCACTGCATTGAGAAGCCCACGCACCACAATGAAGAGTAGCCCCCACTCACTGCAACTAGAGGAAACCCGGGCACAGCAACAAAGACCCAACACAGTCAAAAATAAATAAATTTAAAAAATATATATAGTAAGTACTCAATATATATTAGCAATTACTACGTACCAGGCCTTATGCTAAGACCCTGGGCGCGTTCTTTGTCAATAGGCATTCTGTAAACAAAGGGCATCTTCTATCCCTAATGGTATTATCCATTATCAACAAACCTTAACACAAAATATAAAAGATTAAGGTACAGAATTTAGTTTACTATGGCAGCTCACAATTTCTGTTCAATTCTTTCCACAGTGAGGGATAGCTAGATACAGCTTTCATTTTAATTCATTATTAACAAAGTACTTTTCTGGACAATATGAGGTGAAGACTGTAACATGGTCCTTTTCTAAATTTACCTGAATTTGACTGATTGTTAATATGATGGCATATTACTTGTGATAATATAAGTAAATAACTTACATTTTGTTAATTTCTTTGGACTCTGTGAAGGCACTGACTGGTTATCAATGTGTGAAAGAGGAAGTTCTAATCCCCCTTGGGAGGCCCAGCCTGGAGAAAGAGAAATAATGAATTATCCATTATTAATCAAGTAGAAAGTAGCATCAGCAAAACAGGAAAAGGGGAAAATATCTAATAAAAGTCCTCCAATCTTTGTACCAGGGCAATATTCCACAGTATAAGACATATATCTGCTATTATGAATTTTATTCAAATCATCTAAGTTTAGTCCCAGCTAGAGTTAGACTTTCTTACATTTTGCAAAGTGGTTCTGAAATAAATATATAAGCCTTTTTTCTTTAAAACAATGGCAAATGGATAAGGTGTAGAAAGAGAAGCTGTAAGGAGTCAGGAAGAGAGGAAATAAACATGACAATTAGAATCCTGAAACCTATGAATAATAGGTTTATACCCTTTGACTTGGTAATCCCATTCCTAGAAATTTATCTTAAGGAAATAATTTAACTGAAGGAAAAAGTACATGCATGATTTTGTTTATTGCAGCATTATCTATAACATGAAAAAGTAGAAACAATAAGGAAGGAATTAAGTGTATTATGGTGGACAAATGTGATGAAATATGATATACTCCTTAAAAAGTATCATTATGAATACTAGTAACACAGGGCAATGTCTACTGTAACATGAAAACGTATTTATACTATAATTAAAACACAGCACTAGAAAGGAACTTAGATTATCTGGCCTACTACCTTCCTTGTACAGTAGAGATCATCTGAGGCCCAAGTTCTTACTTGGGGCGCCTAGAACATAGATCTTTAAACCCTCAGGGCAGCTCATCTTCCTGGTCTACATCACAGGAGAAAAAGAGGTAGACATAAAGGAGAGACTAGTGAAGTAGGAAGAGTCCTGTGCGGGGAGAAGTTTTAACAGTTTAAACTGCCTGATGACTCAGCAAGACACTCAAACACAATTGCCTTGGCTATTACGTGGGAATATCCCGTCAGCCTGCAGGCAGGAACCAAGACAGACGTTCTGACTAGTGCAGAAATCCTGTTGATATTGTACGGCCAGAAAATAAGAGAAGAGTCCAGAGCTGCTGGTGATGTGGCAAGTGAAGGAGAGAGAGCAGGAGTTCATAGCAGACAGTGAATCAGTTTGTAAATCTTTATAACTATTGGGCCATCGATATGCCACACGAGAATAGCTGCTGTCTAAAATTTTACCACAAGCAAAACATCTGAATTATCCTAGACAGGGGGACTCGTTATCAAATAGTACGGTCCATTCTTACTTTTAGGTTATTTAACCAATTCTTAACTGAGTCATTATTTAACTGATATTTATTTTATTTATTGAGCTAACTTTTATGCTGCTGTCATAGAAAGCACCAAGATAAATCACCCCACAGATCATGCCCTTGAGGTGCTTGAAGATTGGATAAAGCATGATGGTCTTGCAGATAAAGTATGAACATAATTATTTTAATACAAAGTACAATGCATTAAGACACCGTGAGGTGCCGTGAGGCTGAAAGACAGGGATATAAGGCAGGATAAACTATGATTGCAGGGCTTCCCTGGTGGTGCAGTGGTTAAGAATCCGCCTGCCAACACCAAGCCCTGGTCCAGGAAGATCCCACATGCCACGGAGCAACTAAGCCCATGCGCTACAACTACTGAGCCTGCACTCTAGAGCCTGTGAGCCACAACTACTGAGCCCATGAGCCACAATTACTGAAGCACACCTAGAGCCCATGCTCCGCAACAAGAGAAGTCTCCGCAATGAGAAAGAAGCCCGCGCACCGCAACAAAGAGTAGCCCCTGCTCGACGCAACTAGCGCAGCAACGAAGACCCAATGCAGCCAAAAATAAACAAAAATAAAATCTATATTAAAAAAAGAACTATGATCACATCCATGAAAACCAGTAAAGCACTGCAGGAGGCCAGAGGAGGGAGAAAGCATTTCCACTTGGCAGTACTGAGGGAGTCCTCAAGGTTGGTGTGGCGGAGGAAACACTGGATGGGAACCTAATATTTGGGCCCAAGTCCACACTCTATTAGAGAACATTACAGCCAAAGAGGGGCATGAACAAAGATGCCTCAGAAGGGTCTGGAAACAGTACGGTTACCGAAAATAGCAGGTATTTTGAAATAAGGTAGGAGATAAGGGTGGAAATGCAGGCACAGGCAGGTTTGATCCTGGGGCCAATGGTGCTTTATTTTTGAAAAATGTAAGCAGGGTGCTGACATCTGAATCTGCTTCATAGAGAGAGAACTTTGGAGGAAACATGGAAGACGAATTGGGGTTTGGGAGACCTGTTAGGAGGAGTCACAGTAACCCAGGAAACCAAATGAGGTTCTAAATGGCAGAGGAGGAGGAGTGGGAAATTTGAGACACGTTTTAGAAACAGAATTGACAGGACTTCGGAACCAATATGGAAGTGGGGAGCAAAATGATTCCCAAAGTGTTGGGTTGGACACAGGATGGTGGAATAGCAGGTGAGTGGAGAGAGTCCTTGACATATAAGCAAAGCAGGTGACCCTTTCCTGCTCCCAGCTTTCCACCACAGTCCTCCATCCCCACTGCCTTGCCCTGAAGGCTGCTGTGGAACCAGCTCCAGACCTATTCCTTTTGCTCTTGTTAACTCTGAGCCCATAGGAAGAGAACACATCGAGTTTTGCTAGGTGGAACAAACAGTATCACTTGCCCTAGGCAGGGTAACTTAGCAGGTCAAGAGTTTTAAACAAGACACTGATTTTCTATGTAGAGAAGACACCTGGGAAAGTCAATGAAAAAATGTGGGGTTTAGTGGAGGTGGCAGGAAAGCAGCCCTTATTTCACTCTCGTTGACAGACTCCAATGATATTTGTTATTTTTCCCGTTGACTGGTGTGACTGCAGATTTTATCTAGTAGTACAGAAGCTAACTCAATCTCCTTGTTGATTTCAGCATCCACAGGCACATATTTTTGCTTCACAAAGATACAACAATTCGGGCTTCCCTGGTGGCGCAGTGATTGAGAGTCCGCCTGCCGATGCAGGGGACGCGGGTTTGTGCCCCGGTCCGAGAAGATCCCACGTGCCGCGGAGCGGCTGGGCCTGTGAGCCATGGCCGCTGAGCCTGCGCGTCCGGAGCCTGTGCTCCGCAACGGGAGAGGCCACAACAGTGAGAGGCCCGCGTACCGCAAAAAAAAAAAAAAAAAAAGATACAACAATTCAAGGGTATCCAAAGGTTGCATAGACACTTACTGTTGAAAGCTCCAGCAGCATGAAGGCCAAGGTCGAAGAGTTGTGAAGGAAGGAATCCTGAGGAGTGAGCAAGAGGCTCAGACCCCCCAGAAGGCTCCTGGGATGTAAGACTGGCCTTGGGGCTCCCAAAGACAGCCTGGCATTCCTGGGAAAATTCACTAGCACTCCAACAACCAGGACTTAGGAGGCTGTTCAGAAATGAGAATTCCTTCTCAAAATCATCTTCCAATGAATCTACTGGTACATCTTTCGCAACTGTTGAGTGAATATAAAAACAGAATGGTTTTTTTCTTTTTGAGGAAATGAGAGTAGGATATAGGGCAAATCAAGTTTGTTTCATTGTTCTCATACTTTATTAACATAATTTTTAATGAACAATTAAACTGATTAGGAGTTTATGTGAAAATAATTTCTAATTAGGTAGGCTACATATCAAAATGACATTTCACAATGAAAATATTAATAGTTATGAGTATTTATGTATAAAATAATTAAGCAACCATCTATGTAAGACAGAAACAGGAAATGCAAGGAGAAACTGAAACAAATTAAAAATAGGAGACTTTAATATACTACTCTCAGTAAAAAAACAGGCCAAGAGGACAAAAGTAAAGATATAAAAGATCTAAACAGCATAAAAAAACACGGTAGTTACTTTTGAATATAAGCAAACCCTAACAGAAAATGTACCTTTTTCTCAGGCACACACTGAAAATTCACAGAAATCAATTATAACTAAGGCACACACACAAACAGTTTCTTAAAATAGAAATATTACGAACAACATACTCTGATTATAATGCCATAAAATGAGACAACTTTTTTAATGAAACCAGAAAGATAAAAATCTCTTCCACTTGCACATTTTTATACCTTCTATTAAACAATTCTTGGTTGGAAGGGTAATGGAATTTCAGAAAAATGATAAAGAAGACATTTCACATCATAATCCATGGGATATTTAAATAACAACTACCATGAAAAATCATGACCCTAAATATCAATAAAATATAATTAATAAATAAATATTTATCATTATCAATAAAAATGAAAGATAGGGGCTTCCAGCATGATAGAATGATGAGGTCTAGGGACCCGCACGTCAGTTTTAAGTAACTGGTGAAAATGATTTTAAAAACAACCATTTAAAGTCTCTGGAAGTTGTTCCAAGGACACACACCAAGTGTAGAAATATTTACTCAAGAAAATCTATTAAAATTTAGAAAGAATGAAAGACTTGAACTAAGAACTACTCTCTTCCACCCACTTCTCAATTCAGCCAGATGAAAATTCGCTCTAGCCTGGCGGGAGTGGGGGAGTAGGAGAAGGATTAATTGCAAACAAGCATGAGAGAATTTGGGGGTAATGGGAATAGTCTAATAGTCAATTGTGATGGTTGCACAACTCTATAAATTTACTAAAAGTCATTGAATTTTATACTTACAATGGGTGAATTTTATGGTACTTAAATTATACCTTGATAAAGCTGTTAAAAAATCAAGAGATTTTGTACAACTCTATGTAAATAAATTAGAAAACCTAGACAAAATGAATAATTTCTGAGAAAAATATAATTTACTAAAATTGGTCCCAGTACAGATAGAAAGCTTAAACAGATCAATTTCCATAGAGAAGAAAACACAAAAAATCATAGGCCTAGATGTTTTCACAGGGCATAGATGCTGAAAAACCTGTTGGCAAAATTCAACAATCATTCCTAATAAAAACTCTTGAGAAAACAGGAATGTATGGATACTTAACACTGTCAAATATATACCTCAGTCCAAAAGCTAGCGTCTTAATTAATTCAGAAACAGTACAGGCATTGACACTAAGATCAGGAACAATACTATTTCACATTGTTCTGGTGGTAGTAACCAATGCAATTAAACAAAAGAAATTAATTACAGTCACAAGAATTGATAAAGAAAAAACAGGACTCTCTATTTGCAGAAGACATGATGGTATACCTGGAATGTTCCAGAAAATCAATGATAAAACTAACTCAAACTATAAGCAAGTTCAGCAAGGTAGCAGGATATATGGTTAACATGCAAAAATTGTATCAATACACAAAATAATAACCAGTTAAAAGATAAAATGGAAAGAAAATGTCATTTATAACGGCAATAAAAGAAATAAAATATTCAGAAATAAACTTAACAAGAAATGTTCAAAACCTCTAAGAAAAAACTATATCTGAAAGATAGACAAGTAAACTTTAATAGAAAGATGCCCTTTGTTTCTGCTTAGGATGTCTTGACATCAGCAAGCTGTCAGTTTTCATATTTAATGTGATCACAATAAAAGTATCAATGAGTTTTTTTATGGAGCTAGACAGTTTGATATAAAACTCATATTGAAAAATAAACATGCAAGAATAGTTAAGAAAATAATGAAACGAAGAGGAAGATACTAGTCCCACCAGATACAAAAACACACAAAAAAGTTTCTATGAAAGTCCAGAAATAGACTCAAATACACATAGAAATCTAGCATATGATTGGAAGTTATTTCAAATTACTGGGGCAAACATGGCATTTAAAAAAATAATATAAAGGATAGCCATTTGCAAAAAGATAACATTTAATCCATTGTTAACGCCATATTGCATGAATAAACTCCAAATGAATTGGAGATCTAAATATAAAAAATAAAACTATACAAATATTAGAAGAAAACATAAACGAACTCCTCTAACCTGGGTTTTGCATATGACAAAAACCAGATCCAATAAAATAAAAGATTAATAAATTTGACTACATAAAATGTTTAAAACTTTTTCATGGCAAGAAGCAACTATAGGAAAAGTCGAAAGACAAACTAGGAGAAAATGTTTGCAATGCTTGGCAGAGACATTCAAGGTAGTATTTACTGAGTACCTACATTGCTGGATGGTAGAGACACATGAGACAGTAAGATAAACACAGTGCCACATGTCCTCACAGTTACAGAGATACATTCCACAGGGCCGAAACATACAGAATAAGCAATTATTTAATTTCCATTGGCATGTGCTACAAAGTAGAAGTATAGGATTGCATTCCTGTGTAGAGACCTATACAGATTTTCATGTTATGGAAATAAATATTAAATAAAAACTAAAGAATTTTAAATAATAAAGTATCCATATATATAGTGAAATTATAATTTACCATTTTCAGAGTTAGAAAACTGAGGTGCTCCAAATTCTCTTATTCCAGAATGTTTTTCCTTGTGATCTTCAGTTGCTGAAACAAAAGCACATAAAAGATAGCTGAACAAGAAGAAATTTAGCATGCTTATTTACTATAGTTTTTTTTTTTTTTTTTTTTTTGCGGTACGCGGGCCTTTCCCATTGCGGCGCACAGGCTCCGATGCGCAGGCTCAGCGGCCATGGCTCACGGGCCCAGCCGCTCCGCGGCATGTGGGATCTTCCCGGACCGGGGCACGAATCCGTGTCCCCTGCATCGGCAGGCAGACTCTCAACCACTGCACCACCAGGGAAGCCCCCCTACTATAGTATTTTATGATAATGTGACCAAACTGTTCAACTGACCACATCAGATTATAATACATATATCTAAAAATTTAAAGAACCATATATAAAGACCACATATGTATATATATAACACTATATATATATATACAAATAAATTTGTAATACCCACAGGTATTCAGGTCCTCTGTTATATCTATGCCCTCTTGAAAGTTAAAAGTTTTCATATTTCATGTAAATTGGTGCAGTGGCTATGGAAAACAATATGGAGGTTCCTCAAAAAATTTAAAAATAGAACTACCATATAATCCAACAATGCCACTTCTGGGTATTTATCCAAAAAAATGAAAACACTATTTCAAAAAGTTAAATGCACCCCCATGTTCATTGCAGCATTATTTACAATAGTCAAGATATGGAAACAACCTAAGTGTCCATCGATGGGTGAATGGATAAAGAAAATGTGGTTCATATATACAATAGAACATTATTCAGCCATAAAAAAATGAATGATATCTTACCATCTGCAATGACATGGATGGACTTTGAGGGCATTATGCTAAGTGAAATAACTCAGAGAAAGACGAATACTGTACCATCTCACTTATATGTGGTATCTAAAGAACAAACAAAACCCGAGCTCACAGATGTAGAGAACAGTGCTGGAGGCCAGAGGCAGAGGCAGGGGTGGAGGCAAAATGAGCGGAGGGAGTCAAAAGGCACAAAACTTCCAAATAAATAAGTCATAACGATGTAATGTACAGCATGTCGACTATAGTTAATACTGTAGTGCATATGTGAAAGTTGCTAAGACAGTAAATCTTAAAAGTTTTCATCACAAGAAAAAATTTGTAACTGTGTATGAGGATGGATGTTAACTAGACTTACTGTGGTGATCATTTTGCAGTGTATACATATAGCCAAACATCATGTTGTACACCTGAAACTAACACAATGTTATATGTCAATTATACCTCAATTAAATAAAGTTTTTCACATTCCAAAGCCTATTCCTTCCCTGGTGGATTTGTTCTCATTCTATAGTCTCCGAAAGGCCATTTTATACAGCTGACCCTAACAATAAGGGTTTGAATTACACAGGTCCACTTATATGTGGATTTTTTCAATAAATACACTGGAAAAAATTTTGGAGATTTGTGACAATTTGAAAAAACTCACAGAAGAACCTCACAGTCAAGAAATATCAAAATCATTAAGAAAAATTAGGTATGTCATGAATGCATAAAATATATATACATACTAGTCTATTTTTATCATTTACTACCATAAAATACACACAAATCTATTATAAAAAGTTAAAATTTATCAAAACTTATGCACACATCATTGATATGGCACAATTTGCAGCTGAGAGAAATGTAAACAAACGTAAAGATGCAGTAATTAAATCATAACTGCATAAAATTAACTGTAGTAATTTCATAGCCACCTCCGGTTGCTACTGCAGTGAGTTCAAGTGTTGGGAGTATCAGCTTAAAATGCCGTGTGACACTAATCATCGCCACACGACCATTTCCTTTCTCCAATAAATTGTGTATCACAGTAAAAACTGATCTCTCAAGTCTTGCGTCTTTTTCATGTTTACGGTAATACTGTGAACTCTGAATAACACCACGGGACCCATAGGAAGTGCCACTAGTGATGCTGGAAGTGCTTCCAAGAAGCACAGAAAATTACAAGAAAATGTTGAAATGCTTGGTATGTATCATAGATTGAGGTATGCAGCTGCAGTTGCCCATTTCAAGATAAATGAATCCAGGGTAAGGACCATTGTAAAAAAAAAACAAAAGGAAATTCATGAAGCCATCACTGCAGCTGTGCCAGCAGGTGCAAAAACCTCACACATTTGGTAAAGTACCTTTTTATCTCGTATTAAAAATGCAGTTTTGGGCTTCCCTGGTGGCGCAGTGGTTGAGAGTCCGCCTGCCGATGCAGGGGACACGGGTTCGTGCCCCAGTCCGGGAAGATCCCACATGCCGCGGCGCGGCTGGGCCCGTGAGCCATGGCCGCTGAGCCTGCGCGTCCGGAGCCTGTGCTCCGCAACGGGAGAGGCCACAACAGTGAGAGGCCCGCGTACCGCAAAAAAAAAAAAAAAAAAAAAAATCAGCTTTTATGTGGGTGCAGGATTGCTATAAGAAAGGCATACCTATAGACTAATATGATTTGAGAAAAAGCAAAGTCATTATATGACAATCTAAAGCAAAAGGAAGGTGATGGATCTAATGCTGGAGAATTCAATGAGAGTAAAGGATGGTTTGATAATTTTAAAAAGGGGTTTGGCTTAAAAAAGGTCAAGATAACAGGAGAAACTGTGTTGAAAAAGATACAGCAGACGAGTTCCCAGATGACATTAAGAAAATCATTGATATGAAAGGATATCTGCCTGAACAGGCTTTTAATACAGACAAAACTGTCCTATTCTGGTAAAAAAATGCCACTAGGGACATTTATTAGTAAGGAAGAGGAGTGAGCACCAGGATTTAAGGCAGGAACGGATAGGCTAACTCTTCTGTTTTGTGCAAATGCAGTCAGATGCATGATCAGGACTGCCCTCATCTATAAAGCTGCCAACCCCCAAGCCTTGAAGGGAAAAGGTAGACACCAGCTGCCAGTCTTCTGGCTGTACAACAAGAAGGACTGGACCATGAAAACCCTTTTTCTGAATCGGTTTCACTGATGCTTTGTCCCTGAAGTCAGGAAGTTCCTTGCCAGGAAGGGACTGACTTCTAAAGTTCTTTTGAAATTGGACAATGCCCCTGGCCATCCAGAGCCCCAGAGTTAACACCGAAGGCATCCAAACAGTCTAGCAGTTACACTAGGCTACAATAATGCAATCATATTGCTGCTTCTTTGTTAGAGACGCATGAATCGTTACACCTGTAAATAAATATGAATCTTTTTCACATTATCTTTTTATTTTTGATGCCTAGTGTTAGTAATACATATAATATCTACAGTGTTTTCTATTATGTAAGACAATATTGATGTAGGTACTGATAGATGACCCATCTTGTAAACAATGTAAATGTACTGTATTCATAAATACAGCGCAGTACTGTAAAGGTATTTTATCATCCTTATAATTTTTTTTTTAATTTTAATTTATTTTTGGCTACATTGGGTCTTCATTGCTGCTTGTGGGCTTTCTCTAGTGGCAGCGAGCGGGGCCTACTCTTTGTTGCGGTGTACGGGCTTCTCATTGCGGTGGCTTCTCTTGTTGTGGAGCACGGGCTCTAGGTGCGCAGGCTTCAGTAGTTGCAGCATGAGGGCTCAGTAGTTGTGGTACATGGGCTTAGTTGCTCCGTGGCATGTGGGATCTTCCTGGACCAGGGCTTGAACCCGTGTCCCCTGCATTGGCAGGCAGATTCTTAACCACTGCTCCACCAGGGAAGTCTCTTCCTTATAATTTTCTTAATAACTTTCTCTCTTCTCTAGCTTTATTGTAAGAATACAGTATACAATACATATAACATACAAAATATGTGTTAATTGATTGTTATCGGTGAGGCTTCCATTCAACAGTAGGCTATTAGTAGCTAAATTTTGGCAGAGTCAAAAGTTACATGTGGGTTTTCGACTGCACGGCGGCCAGAGGGTAGGGGTGGGGAGGCGGTTGGTGTCCCTAACCCCTACGTTGTTCAAGGGTCAACTATATTTTGTTCTGCCTGCTCTTCACGTCTCTGACACAACAGATATTCTTATTTATTTATTTATTTATGGCTGTGTTGGGTCTTCGTTGCTGCGCGCGGCGAGCGGGGTCTACTCTTCGTTGTGGTGCGCAGGCTTCTCACTGCAGTGGCTTCTCTTGTTGTGGAGCACGGGCTCTAGGTGCGCGGGCTTTAGTTGCGGCACGCAGGCTCAGTAGTTGTGGCTAACGGGCTCTAGAGCACAGGCTCAGTAGTTGTGGCATACGAGCTTAGTTGCTCCGCGGCATGTGGGATCTTCCCGGACCAGGGAACGAACCCATATCCCCTGCACTGGCAGGCGGATTCTCAACCACTGCGCCACTGGGGAAGCCCCAGGTATTCATTTTATGTTGAATGAATGAATAAATGATTGGATATGTTGTGCTTTTTTTTCAAATCCGTGATAATTCATTACATAGCAATAGAAAACAAATACACTTAACAATACATTATTACTTGAGGTTATTCCTTGAGGATTATAATTTTTCAAGTTAATAACACATGGGTAATATTCCCCATTCTGCCTTCTACTGGTTTATTTGCTCATGTCTGTATCAGACTCAGGATTTCCTGGTGGAGGAGTGGAGCTGGTCATCTCTGTGTTCCCTGGGCCTAGCACAGGCCTTGGACAGATGCTCTAAGACGAGCTGACACTTGGCAAAACTGTGAAGTTGATGCAATTTTTGTGCCAAACTTCCATATCCTATACTGCATGGTTTGGGGACCTGGAAATAGTAACAGCTAATGTGGCTACAGAGCTTACTGAGTGCCTGGCGCTTTTCTCAGGGCTTGGTGCACGTTAACCTTGGTGATCCTCATAAAAACCCTACCGGATACCACCATAACCATGGCATCCCCACCTTGCAGATGAGGCACTAGTAAGGCAAGAAGTCGAGTAACTTGCTCAAGGTCACACAATTAATTAACAGTGGAGCTCAGGTTCAAACCAGACAGCCTGGCTCAAATCTGTGTTCCTAACAGGGTATGTTGTACTTTTAATTCAAAGGCTGCTTTATTCTTCTAAGAGCTGTGCATAGCTGTGAGCAGCATCTCCACATTTCTCATTTAGAGTAGTGATTTCATATGAAGGGAAAGATCAAACATACGTACTTAAAAGACAGCATATTTTTTTAATGTTTAACATTAAAAAATAAAACATACAAACAAAAAACCCATAGGCAAACATTTTTTTAAAAAATTATCTCTAAGTTTTGGGCCTATATTGGGATAAATTATGCCCTATTACTACACTAGGAGCCAGTTTCTTAGAGTCTGTTTCCCATGTCTCTACCTAATTTGCAACCCAGTATAGACAGAGACCAAAAAAAAAAAAAAAACCTCCAAGGTAGGGAATTCCCTGGTGGACCAGGAGTTAGGACTTGGCATTTTCACTGCTGGGGCCAGGGTTTGATCCCTGGTTGGGGAACTAAGATCCCTCATGCTATGCAGTGTGGCAAAAAAAAAAGAATGACAAAAAAAAAAAAATCCAAGATTTTTACATCTTCAACTATTATTAGGACCATTTTTTTCTTTTTGTGGTACCCGGGCCTCTCACTGTTGTGGCCTCTCCCATTGCAGAGCACAGGCTCTGGACCCACAGGCTCAGCGGCCACGGCTCACGGGCCGAGCCGCTCCGCGGCATGTGAGATCTTCCTGGACCCAGGCATGAACCCGTGTCCCCTGCATCGGCAGGCGGACTCTCAACCACTGTGCCACCAGGGAAGCCCCAGGACCATTTTTAATTAAAAAAAATTTTTATTGCAATATCGTTGATGTACAATATTATATGTTACAAGTGTACAACATAGTGGTTCATAATTTTTAAAGGTTATGCTCCATTTATAATTATTATAAAATGTTGACTATATTCCCTGTGTTGTACAATGTATACTTGTAGCTTATTTATTTTATACACAGTAGTTTGTACCTCTTAATCCCTTAGCCCTATTTTTCCCCTCCCCTCCTCCTTCTCCCCACTGGTAACTACTAGTTGGTTCTCTATATCTGTGTGCCTGGGGTTTTTTTGTTATGTTCACTAGTGTGTTGTATTTTTTAGATTCCACATATAAGTGACATCATACAGTATTTGTCTTTCTCTGACTTATTTCACTTAGCAGAATACCCTCTAAGTCCATCCATGTTGTTGCAAATGGCAAAATTTCATTCTTTTTTATGACTGGGTACATATACACTACATCTTCTTTATCCTTTCATCTATTGATGGACATTTAGGTTGCTTCCACATCTTGGCAATTGTAAGTAATGCTGCTATGAACATTGAAATGCACGTATCTTTTTGAATAACTGTTTTGGGGGTTTTTTTGCATATATACCCAGGAGTGGAATTGCTGTGTCATATGGCAGCCTTATTTTTAGTTTTTGGAGAAACCTCTATACGTTTTTCCACAGTGGCTGCACCAATTTACATTCCCACCAGCAGTGTACGAGGATTCCCTTTTCTCCATATTCTCACCAACATTTGTTATTTGTGGTCTTTTTGATGATAGCCATTCTGACAGGTGTGAGGTGATATCTCATTATAGTTTTAATTTGCATTTTTCTGATGATCATCAATGCTGAGCATATTTTCATGTTCCTGTTGGCCAACTGTATGTCTTCTTCGGAAAGATGTCTATTCAGGTCTTCTGCCCATTTTTAAATTAGGTTGTTTTTTTGATGTTGAGTTGTATGAGCTGTTTATGTATTTTGGATAACAACCCCTTATCGGTCATATCATTTGCAAATTTTTTCTCCTATTGCATAAGTTGCCTTTTCATTTTGTCGATGGTTTCCTTTGCTGTGCAAAAGTTTTTAAGTTTGATTAGGTCCCATGCATTTATTTTTGCTTTTATTTCCCTTGCTTTAGGAGATGAATCCAAAAAATATTGCTATGATTTATGTCAAAGAGTGTTCTGCATATGTCTTCCTCTAGGACTTCTATGGTTTCCAGCCTTACATTTAGGTCTTCAATCCATTTTGAGTTTATTTTTGCCATTGGCAGCAATGTGGATGGACTTGGAGGGTATTATGCTAAGTGAAATAAGTCAGACAGAGAAAGACAAATACTATGATGTCACTTATATGTGGAATCTAAAAAATACAACAAACTAGTGAACATAACAAAAAAACCCAGGCACACAGATATAGAGAACCAACTAGTAGTTACCAGTAGGGAGAGGGAAGAGGGACGTGCAAGTTTGGGGTATGACGTTAAAAGGTACAAACTATTACATGTAAAATAGCTATAAAGATATATTGTAAAAAAGCTATATAGCTTTGTAAAAAAGCTATAAGGATATATTGTATAACACAGAGAATATAACCTATATATATATTTATTTTTTTGCCAATATTTTACAATAACTGGTGGGTTGGCCAAAAAGTTCATTTGGGTTTTTCCATAAGATGTTATGGAAAAACCCGAAATAACTTTTTGGCCAATCCAATATAAATGGAGCATAACCTTTAAAAATTGTGAATCACTACGTTGTACACTGTAACATATAATATTGTACATAAACTATACTTCAATAAAAGAAGGGATATAACTGCTGATACAGCAGGCTTTAAAAGACAAAATAATACTATAGATGGATGGTGAAACTACAACAATGTCCATTATATTTCACTTATGACTGTTAAAAAAAAATGTTCTCTACTTAGGTACAGGATTATGCATGCAAAATTAGCTAACCTTGGAATTAGCTAACATAAGTCTGAAGGTATGTTAGATATATGAGCTCATGATTATTATAGCTTCTTAAATAGTTTCTTTTATCAATATGGTCTGTATTTATGTGTATACTTAAAAATACCTATCACATTTATTGGATGCTTACTGTGTGCTATATAGTTGATAAATATATCTAGCCCTGATGTCCTGCAAGGCAGGATTGTATGACTCATTTTTCAGATAAGAAAAATGAGAGGCATAAATGACTTGTTTTAAAAAAAAGCCAGCATTCAAACCCAGATTTTTCTGGCTCCAAAGCTAGAGTAATTCATATATATGTTGACTGTACATATAATATATATTTATTAAAAAATAAGAACACAAAAAAAAATAAGAACACAAATTTAAATATGAGGATAATTTTGAAACAATCATACAACCCTGTGAAATGAATATCTACACTAAAACACCTATCTTAGAGAAGACCAGAATTCCCTAAAGAAGATAACTGGACCCTCTAATTAGGTACTGCTTGAAAGCTAACTCATTGCTGAGCATAGCCTCCAGTTCTGCCTGACCAGGAAGCCTGGACTGAGACCTGGGGCAGCTGCAGAGCATATCCTATTGCCTGCCCAGGCAGGGAAGCAAGTCAGCAGCCCCACCCAACAGGGGAGCATGGCCCCAGCCCACCTGACCAGGATGCCCTAAAAGGGACGCTGGGGAGCCTCCCAGCCTAGCTCACAGTACTGCCCAGCAGCACACCCCAGTCTATAGCCCTGCCTGGCAGCAAAGCCCAGCCTACGTCCATGCCCAGTTGCTGGGCACGTCCTGCAGTCTCACTTAGGCAGGGAGCCCAGTCAATGACACCCCCCAACTGTGGGGTACAGTATGAGGCCCCACCCTACCCATTTTTCCAACCAAAGACATATAGATGGCCAATAGGGACATGAAATGGTGTTCAACAGTACTAATGAAATCAAATACAAATCAAAACCACAATGAAATATCACCTCACGCCTGTTAGAATGGCTGTATAAAAAAGACAGGAGATAAATGCTGGTGGCGATGTGGAAAAAAAGGAAGCCTTGTGTACTGTTGGTGGGAATGTCTAAATTGGTATAGCCATTATGAAAAACAGTATGGAGGTTCCTCAAAAAATTAAAAATAGAACTACTATATGATCCAGCAATTCCACTTCAGGGTTTATATACAAAGGAAATGAAATCACTGTCTCGAAGTGGCATCTGCACCCTCACGTTCATTGCTGCACTGGCTCACTGCTGTTCAAGAGGGCATTATGTTAAGTGAAATAAGTCAGACAGAGGAAGACACTATGATCTCACTTAAATGTGAGATCTAAAAAAGCCGAACTCCTAGAGACAGAGAGTAGACTGGTGGTTGCTAGGGCCTGGGGGATGGGGGAAATGGGGAGATTGGCCAAAGGGTACAACCTTCCAGTTATAAGAAGAGTAAGTTCTGGGGATCTAACATATAGCATGGTAACTATAGTTAAAAACAATTGCTAAGAGAGTAAATCTTAAATGTTCTTATGCCCAAAATAAATATGGTAACTATGTGAGATGATAGATGTGTTAACTAATCTTATGGTGAAAATCATTTTGCAATACTAAAATATACCAAATCATCACACTGTGCACCTTAAACTTACAGTGTTACATGTCAATTACAGCTCCTCAATAAAGCTGGGAAAAAAAGGCGAACTCAAGTTTGTACAGAAGAGACTTACAAAGGGACTTAACATTTTTTAATTGAATGGATATTAACACAATCCCCAAAGGCTGTAACAAACTGTTTTGACATTTAAATGTGATCATTTCACATTTTAATGAATTTACCATCTTACCTGGTTCACTTCCCAAGCTCACTTCCTCATCTGAGAAAACTAACCTAAAGTAAAGACAAAAAAATCCAAAGGTTTTGGTTAAAATACATTTGGGATTCATACTCTACAAACAGTTTTATGTGGCTTAAAAAAAATTTTTTTTAAACTGAGGAGACATAAAATAGTTGTCCGGTAGATCTCCTAAAATCTGTCTGAGACAAATCTTCTTCTCTAGAGCTACACAGACTGTAAAAATAATCCTTCACCTCTTATTCTTTCAATGTATATTTACTGAGTATTGATCAAGCACCAAGCACCACGTTCAGCATGGTAAACGCTGTGCTAAATACTATACCCCAGAGAACATCTGTCACCAACGCCATCAAGTATGAAGTTTAGTTTTCAAGCATTAAAAGGTTTTTTGCTCATCCCACTACTGGGCATATAACCTGAGAAAATCATAATTCAAAAAGAGACATGTACCACAATGTTCACTGCAGCACTATTTACAATAGCCAGGACATGGAAGCAGCCTAAGTGTCCATCGACAGACGAATGGATAAAGAAGATGTGGTACATACATACAATGGAATATTACTCAGCCATAAAAAGAAATGAAATTGAGTTATTTGTAGTGAGGTGGATGGACCTAGAGTGTGTCATACAGAGTGAAGTAAGTCAGAAAGAGAAAAACACATACCATATGCTAATGCATATGTATGGAATCTAAAAAAAATGGTACTGATGAACCTAGCGGCAGGGCAGGAATAAAGATGCAGACATAGAGAATGGACTTGAGGACACGGGGGTGGGGAGGGAAGCTGGGGAAAAGTGAGAATAGCATTGACATATATACCCTACCGAATGTAAAATAGATAGCTAGTGGCAAGCAGCTGCACAGAACAGGGAGATCGGCTCCGTGCTTTGCAAAGACCTAGAGGGGTGGGATAGGGAGGGTGGGAGGGAGGCTCAAGAGGGAGGGGATATGGGGATATATGTATGCGTATGGCTGATTTACTTTGTTGTACAACAGAAACTAACACAGCATTGTGAAGCAATTATACTCCAATAAAGATGTATTAAAAAAAAAGGTTTTGCTCAAGAATACTTGGGAACTAGAGGGAATGAAGAACTGCAGAAAAAATGGAGTACTCTATTTTGAACAACAAAGTGATGTTTACAAAAGGCGGCACATTTGCCTAAAACATTCCAAACCAATACTAATTTTGGAAATTTATATCATCCATCTGGTGTAATAATAAAAAAATGAGATAAAGAAATTGAACCAGATTTAGTTATTATTCCAGGGGTATAACCTCACAACTCTAGAATTGGAGGGTTTTTAAAAATAAGTCTTTAAAGACACTTAAAAAGCAATATAGTATTTATTTGCAAATACTACAAAATAAGCCTACAGAGGAAACAGATACTTTGATTTGGGATGAAATTTCCAACGACAGAATACATAGATGGTGTTTTAAACACTTTGAATGGAAGAGAAGGTGAAGTGCTTTGGAATCTGTTAGTTAACTCAAAAGGTAGCTTTCGGACTTCCCTGGTGGCGCAGTGGTTAAGAATCCACCTGCCAATGCAGGAGACATATGGGTTTGATCCCTGGCCTAGGAAGATCCCACATGTCGAGGAGCAACTAAGTCCGTGCACCACAACTACTGAGCCTGTGCTCTAGAGCCTCCGAGCCACAACTACTGAAGCCCGCGTGCCCAAAGCCCGTGCTCCACAACAAGAGAAGCCACCGCAATGAGAAGCTTGCACACCGCAACAAAGAGTAGCCCCCGCTTGACGCTAGAGAAAGCCTGCGCACAGCAACGAAGACCCAATGCAGCCAAAAATAAAATAAATGAATAAAAAATTTTTAAAAGGTAGCTTTCATAATGCTGAAGATGTATGAGAAGATTCTGAATAAAACTTTCATAAAATGTGATAACGGAAATATTTACCAATTTAATATGCTTAATGTACAATTTTAAATGTCAATGTATAACTAAGTTAATACATTTAATTCATATCTATACATTTGATTGTGTAATCTATATACTAAAACATTATATCTATATCTATATTTAGTATATCTATATACTAAAACATATATCCAAGTTAGTAAAAAAATTTGTATTTCCCCCTAGAGAAAAGGGTGAAATACTTGTATTTCAGATCACCTTCCACTCAACAATATATGGTTGTCATTGTTTGGGCCTATTTCTGGGTTCGCTACTATACTCAGTGCAGTCTGGTTAAAATGATAAGTGGCAGTTCTGAAAGGGAAACAAAGGTAAGATGTAATTAAAGGGAAGGAAAGAGGCGACATGAAAGATGTGCACAGCAAGAGCCTCCATTTTCAGGTAACCAATCCAGTCCCCTCTGTGTTGTTCTGGAGACAGATTTTCAGTAGCTTCTGTCTCATAGCTGCTGACACCTGTCCCTTTCTTTTTCAAGCTGCCCCTTCTGGGATTCACTAGGTAAAGGCTCTTAATACAAGGCTCAGTCTCCCACACTATAGAATTTGGGTTTATCACCCAAACTGTTCTGTATTGCTATCATCAACTTTGCCTACCATGTTAAAAATGGGGGAGGGGGGTGGTAGGTTTCAAAACAAATGTTTAACGTTAATTGGAAAATTGACAGAGAAATAAGTATTCGGTAAACCAAAGAAGCAGCAACTCTTTCCAAATATATGGTACAATGGTATCCAGGACTTCCATAACATGATCTATAACTTTTGTCTGCTTACTTATTGAGGTTTTCCGGGAGAGAACTGTCTTCTATTCGTTCTTCCTTGTGGTCTTCAGTAAGCTTGACTGGAGTGCCTTGTAGTTGCTAAGGGTAAGAAATTCAATGTTAAGTAGATGCAAAGAATCTTGTTTCTCTCTTTGTGCAAACGAAAATGAGAACAAAAATTCTAGAGAACAATATAAAACAGGAAGAGTTTTAAAGTAGAGAGCGTGAGATATGGGAGATGTATGCTGATGTAATTTGACCCGAGCCCTGTGTCCTTTGTATCCTGGCAGCCTGTAGCCACTATGCACACCATGGGCCAGCCACAGGGTTCACCGCTCTGTGATATGCCAAAGAAAAAGAAGACTTACACTGTGTCGCCAGCCGGTACTGCAACGTTTTAAATACAACTAAAGATTTTCAACTTCAAGTCTAGTCTGAGCAGAAATTGGATGTTAAATTTCCCTAAATAGACAGTATGCTATACAGTAAAGCATTAACATAGAAAAAGTAAAAAACAAAACACATACACAACAACAAAAAACAAATTCAAGGTTATCTACCAAAAACAGAAGATGCTATGTCAGAACCTGACTTAAAAATCCACACTAAGCCCCTGTAATATACAGTTGCAGGATATGAACCCATCACAGATATCACATCCAACTTAGGCACACTCAACATTTTCAAGCTCTACTGAAAATAAAGCAGAATGATAAGTTCAAAGGTACTGAAACCTAGCTTACCAGAACTGAAGAAATGATTAACACAGTGCATCTCTGCTGGATAAGGCATATGCACAGAAGGTTGACAGGAAGGGTACATTTTCACGTAGGTGTTACAGAAAGAGCTGACCTAATACAGTAGTCTCTTCAGAGGCAACCACACATACATAATGACCAAAACTGGCATAATTTTTGTATCATGAATCACATCTATGACATGAGTGTAAAAGTAAAGCAAGGAGATTCTTCTTTAACTCCTAAAATTGTCAGGTGGGTAATGTGGTCATTTTTGAAAACACATTACCACTTCCCATCACTTGTTCCTCTTAAGTTTTTCCTTTCCATAACCTTTTCTCTCTTTTGTATTTTAATTTTCTTTTCACTTTCTCTTTCTTTTATTCCCCCTTCCCCCCACCCTACAAATATCTTGAGCCCACCAGCAGTATTTCCATGTATTTGTTTAGTGCTGCTGGTAGAATCTGGAATCAGGGAACTTCAGAAAAATGGCTGAAAGAGTGTAGAAAAATGTTTCCCAGTGTTTTGTAAAGTTGAAATTAGGCTTAGCAAAAAGTAGTTTCAAAGTTATTATCCAAATGAAGTGTGATAAATCTAAGAAAAGACCATTGAAAGAAATGTACCTTGAGAGCTACAAAATCACACGGATGAAAGCCAGTACAGGTCCCATGGATTTGGGACATCATTCGAGCTGTTTTCTCCCAGAATCCAAGCAGTGTCCTCTGCAGAAAAAGAAAAGGTGACACTACAGTTCTCCCTCCTCTCCTCTTTTTTCAGTGCTATTTTTCCTCACTATCGTAGATGAATAGTTGTCAAATAATAAGAAGTAGGAACTAAAATCAATTCCCAAGTTTGGTGAACCAGCAAGCACTGTAAACAGTAATTCTCCATAAGAATTGGCGTTGTATCTGCATGTATGTGTGCCTATCTGTATACAGCACTGAAATGTACACTGGAGCCAGCTAGAGTGTAATTGCAGCCAAGAGAATGCAACTGGCAGATTAGAACACCTTCTGAGGAATCCAAAAGAAAAATGGTAAAAGCACCAAAATATCATATTTGCATTAGAAGTATATGTGTAAATCTTTATGTTGGTAAGCATATAATACAAACCTTTATTAACCGGAGGAAAATAACTTGTACCACTAAATTTGGACTTTCATTTAGAGTTCAAGAAAGACTTGTCAAAAAAATGTGCTATGAAGCTAACTCAAGTAATTCTCCCTGCAGTGGAAGCACAGAGTCTTAACCACTGGGCCACCAGGGAAGTCCTGTCACATACTTTTATTTTCAAGTGCATCCTCTCTTGATTTCTGCATTCCACAGTACTGAACTGAATTAAGTAGATTCCCTAAAAGCAGCAGTGAATACCCATTTCCTTTAGTTTGTATTGTTTTCTCATGTAAAAAAATGTATTCTCCTATTTTGCCATTTACAAATACCTGATAAAATCAGTTAACTGCTACCTGTTAATATCTAACTTACTCATTGTATGCTATTTATGTATGATTTGGAATAAAGTAAGCACAAATGAGACTTCTGAGATTAAAGTGGTGTGGAACGGCAATTTGGCAGAATGAAAAGAACACAAGACCTAGAATTAGAAAACTTAAGTTTTTAAGCCCAACATTGCCATTTAATTCTCATTTAATTCTCACTTTCCTCATCCGTAAAATGATAGAAAAGTGTTGCAGAGCATGGGCTCTAGGCATGTAGGCTTCAGTAGCTCTGGCATTTGGGCTCAGTAGTTGTGGCTCACAGGCTCCAGAGAGCAGGCTCCACAGCTCGGGGCCACAGCATATTTGTTTCAAATGCAACTGTATGTAGAACTAGTTTAAAATGGAGTAACTCTGAATGAACCAAGGCTAATAGGCCTTGAATCCTGCCTCCTCTCCACATTCCCCTCCTCAACCCTAGACAGTCCGTAAGTGTCGTCTGTCTCTCCTAGGATACCAAGGGGAATAATGTGAAGCGATGGGAGTAGGCAAAGAAAGACCCTAAGGTCTTTTCCAGTCTGAAAAGACTGGAAAAGTCTTTTCCATTCATGATTCTGAATGTCATAACTCAATAAGCAATTTCAGCAAAGTCAAAGGAATCTGATCAATTATACAGTTTTTTTGCACTCTTTAGACAACTTTTAAAAAGGAATCTCACCACTCATCTTTACTGCAAGGACATGCTGACCATGGAGGTGGGTACCTGGTAGGTAGCGAGTGAATGAGACAACATATTGCAGCGACTAGCTCCAAGTAAATCCACTTTCTGACAAACATCCATCTTTAACTTGTCAAAAGAAGCTTTGCTATTTCTCACTTGGATCTGTACCTGCAACCACAAAAATGTTAGTTATTATTGCTTATAATACAGAAATAAATATACCACACAGGTTTATGATACATGTTTTCAGACACATGAAATTGTAATAAAGAAGACTAATTCCCTTTCCCTGTATTATTTCAAAATTAATGGAAAAGATTTTGGCTATTTTTAGAAACTGTAGGAGATTCTTTCCAGCAGATATCTTTATGCTGAGAAACTATGTGATGAAAGAGAGAAGGTACATAGTTAAGAAAAAAAAAAACAGATTCCAAATAAAAACAAACATCCAAAACTACTGATGGATAATATTTACCTAAGAAAGAGTAGAAGAATAAATGGAAAGAGGACATAGTAAAAGTGTTGAGAAGCATTAATAATAGTTCTGAACCATACAGTTATATTTATAAACTTAAATACAGGCTTATTATATTTCTTACAAATGAATCATTTATCACCAAATAGTGTGAATACTCAACTTTAAATATACTTATTCATTCATTCAACAAATACTTATGAGGTATCTATTATGTGCCAGGCACTGGTCCAGGCACTGGGATGCTGTGGTGAACAATGTTCTTCCCCACCATCCCTGAGTGAGGAGGCCCAGGAAAAAAAGAAAAAAATATATATAACATAATCTCAAGTCACAAAGATAACATATAAATACAACAGAAATGGGTGACAACATTTGATTAGATGGTCAGGGAAGCCCTTGGTGAGTTCATGCATGATGTGTGAACTGGGATAGGAAGATGATGAGCACGCCCTGCTAAGACCCTGAGGAGAGCCTTCTAGACCCAGGGAAAAGGAAGGACAAAAGTCCTGGGTGTGGGAAGTGTTTCCAGAGCAGGAAGGAATAGGGTAGAGCCGATTCCTTCCTCAAGCATAGAAAGGGCTGGAGCACAGAAAGTAAGTACTGTACAAGATGTGGCAGCAGAGGGACCAGAGATCAGACTGTGCAGGGCTATTTGGGTCTAGATGAGAGGTGTGGATTATATTCTTTTTTTTTTAATTGAGGTGAAATTCACATAACATATACTTAACCGTTTTAAAACTGTACAATTCAGTGACACTAGTGCATTGACAATGTTGTGTAACCACTCCCTTGGATTGTATTCTAATTGTCAAGGATTATAAAGGGGACAGAATAACAGGTTGCCTGAGGCCATGTGTCCAGCTACTACTGCCCAGGTCTGTTGGAGTAATCATTGAGGCAAAGAACTTGTAACGGCTAGTAAAAAGACTCCATCAATACTAAATATAAATATGGATTTTTATTATAGGCACTTTATGAAGGAGTGAGTGAATTTTACTATTTATGTATGGTAAATTCAGGGAATACAATTTATAATAAGGAGTTTACTTAGCAAAATATATGTTCACACATATAGTTGCTTTAACAGTTTGTGGTCAAACTATGTATTGTGGCAGAATGAAAAATCTGATAACCTTCACTTATAATCATTTTACATGAGTTTTTACTTAAGTTTTTTTTCCTGACTAATGAACTGTTTTCCTCCTGCAAACAACTCCTAAAAGTCCAGGTAGGCAACATTTAAAAGGTAGATCTATTATGCCACTCAAAGAGTAAAAAAAAAAAAAAAAAAAGTGTGACAACCTTTTGTACGTTAACTGAAGATTTCCAAGCAACCAAGAATTTATAATATAACACATTTTCCAAAAATAGTCTGACGTTTTATACTCTTGATTAAATTATTCAGTAGAGCTTCAAGAAAACATAAAAAAGGGATGTATTTTCATACTTTTCGGAACTTTTCCATTTGTTTTAAGGTGTCTGGGTCCAGTTCTTGGGACACGTCTTTCATCCACAGCAGAGCTCCTCTATATTCTGTGCGCGCCTGCTCCATCCGATTGACAGTCATCAAGGTATCAGATACTGCCCTTTGACTGAATGTTGCTACTTCTTGCTTAAGACGAGACAGGGGAGTATACAGAGCCAATCTAATGGCAGAGAGGTAAAAATAAGAGGCATGTACGTTCCATAAGCAAAATAAAACAAAAACAACCATAAAGCATAACTTGCTGTCAAGATGAGTCTTTAAACAGGAAATTATTAAGATGCCTACGAAAATCGGAAAGCAAATAAGGATCATACAGTCAACTTTGAACTGTTAATAAAGATGTGTTTCTATCTCTCCCTTTCTTGTTTCAGGAAATATCAATATATCATTTTTGCAACATTTTAGATGTTTATCCATGTATAGATAATCTGCCAAGTAAATCTGCCATTTAGAAAAGAATTCCTTGAGTAAAGCGATCCTATATTTATAAAGCATAATCCTATAAGCAGAAAGCCTTTCTTTTGACAAATTTAGGGAAAACCTGGGTATAGAAAAGCAGATAAAATGCTAGATGAAGGAATGAGGATAAAATTCTTAGCAGCTGAGGATGAGAACAAGAGAAAAAAGGATTTAAGAAACACAAGTCAAACCCAGCTCCTCTGGTCTGCTTTTGACTTAGTGGCAATAGAGGGGCTTTTATTGGCTGTCTCTTTGTCACCTCCTTAAAGGTGGACTTTTGCACTAATATGGTGTTTCAGAATAAAGCCACTTAAGTTATACATTGTCATTACAGGTCTGATAAAGTCTATTTTTATTTTTCTCTAGAAAATGCAAAGATTTTGGCTTTATTTAGTAATTGTAGGAGATTCTTTGCAGCAGGTATCTTTATGTTAAAAAGTTGTAAAATAATGAATGCAAAGTATATAATTAAGAAGACAAAATTTCCTCTGCCTAAAAAGAGGAAAAGTTCCAATGTACTCATAGATAGTATAATATCCAAAAAGTGAAAAAAATATATATACATGTTTAAATTTTAGCCATTCTGTGCCTCTGTTACATTAAACCACTTAAGAAATTTAAGTACAGGCCTAAAGTCTATTTCTAGGAATTAAGCAACCTGTGAATGTCAATTTTTAAATAATTATTTTAAATTCAAAATAAATAAGACTTAGGCATCAAAACAACTATATACTGCAATATACTTCTCTTTTAATCCTCTAATGGAATGAAGAGAAACCTTTACAAATATGCAAATTTAACTACACACATCAAAACTGTCATACTGACTACAAATTTAAGGATGATGCAAAACCATGATAAACCTTTGCTTGGCTGAAGAACAGAGTGCCTTGCCAGTGGCATCCATCATTTTGCCAGCCTGAGTTGTATCCCGTTCTGCTTGGAACTTTAAAAAGAGCCCTAGTTCGTTTTCTTCCTCCGATATAACTAGGGAAAAAATGACAGTATAGTTCATTGTTTCATTTCATCATTGGTTTAAAACACACACACACACACACGAATAAAATTCTCACAGCAATAACTCTCTATACATAAGAATTACTTGGGTGTGGAAGGAGAGACACTTATTTTTAAAATGCAAATTCCTGGGCTTCATCTCCAGAGATTCTGATTTTACAGGTCTGAGGATCTGTTTTTTTTTTTTTTAAACAAGCACTCCAGATGATTTTGATGCACTGACTCCATGGACCTCACTTCGGGAAAGACTGATCTTTAGTGAAAAAAAAAATTCCAAAATAATAAAACAAAGCCACAGATGATCCATTTTCAAACGTGCACTTTAGGATCATTGCCTCTTACAAAGTATTTGGGGGTTTCTATTTATTTTTTTATTTTATTTATTTTTGGCTGCACTGGGTCTTCGTCGCTGTGCGTAGGCTTTCTCTAGTTGCGTCAAGCAGGGGCTACTCTTCATTGCAGTGCGCGTGCTTCTCATTGCAGTGGCTTCTCTTGTTGCGGAGCACAGGCTCTAGGCACACGGGCTTCAGTAGTTGTGGCTTGCGGGCTCTAGAGCGCAGGCTCAGTAGTTGTGGTGCACGGGCTTAGCTGCTCCGCGGCATGTGGGATCTTCCTGGACCAGGGCTCAAACCCGTGTCCTCTGCATTGGCAGTCAGATTCTTAACCACTGCGCCACCAGGGAAGCCCCTGGCTTTCTATTTAAACTTAACTTATTCTTGTCTCCCATCCTGGCTTCATTTTCCTATGCTCAGTATCTCAGACCCACAACTGTCCACGATTTGGTTCCTAAAACCCTTAAAGTTGTCATGTAGTACAATACTACTCAAAGTGTGGTCCGTAGACCAATGTCGGTCCAGAACCATTTGCTACCAGCTTGTGACAGATATCAAAACTAAGAAACTATTTAGAAACTTTTACCAATTTGACTGTTTTATATCTGAGTCTAATAATAAAAAAGTGTGCCTATATTTTGCATGTCTTCTTTAATTCCATTTTTCTGAAAATTCATTTTTATTGTATTTTCAAAAGTGTCAGTTTACAACAGATTGAAAGTAAAACACAAGACAGAAAATGGCCCTTCACCACAGTTTTAGAAGCGCTGATCTAGTGGAAGATGACCCCTTTAATCACAATAAGACAAACAGGTGAGGAAGCCCATAAAGTGTTCAAATTGTGAGCTTAAAGTGAAAAACAAGGACTTCTCTGGTGGCACAGTGGTTAAGAATCCACCTGCCAATGCAGGGGACATGGGTTCGAGCCCTGGTCCAGGAAGATCCCACATGCCGCAGAGCAACTAAGCCCGTGCGCCACAACTACTGAGCCTGCATTCTAGAGCCTGCGAGCCACAACTACTGAGCCTGTGTGCCACAACTACTGAAGCCTGCATGCCACAACTACTGAAGTCTGCGTTCCTAGAGCCCGTGCTCCACAACAAGAGAAGCCACTGCAATGAGAAGTCCGTGCACTGCCAACGAAGAGTAGCTCCCACTTGCCGCAACTAGAGAAAGCCCGTGTGCAGCAACAAACACCCAATGCAGCCAAAAATCAATTAATTAATAAATTAATTTCAAAAAGAATTCTATAAAAAAAAGTGAAAAACAGGACAAATGTCATGCTTAATTTCACCCTAGTTTACTGATGGAAAAACTGAAGTTAAAAACTGAAAGGGAAGTCCCTTTTAATACCTCTGAGGCAGCAGGGGAACTCAGGCCTTCTCACTTGCTAGCTGCCCCCCCGCCTGGTCCTCCCTGTAGTACCTACAAGGGAGGCCCTAGGAGAGCACGATGGTGTTTGGGAGAGGGTGTCTACACATTCTGTAGTATCATCTTTAATAAAACCGAGTGCTGTTTTATGAACAATTAACCTGATTAAGAGTGGATTGGATTTGAGGAATCTGCTTAATTTAATATTCTCATTACTTCAAAGATGTACAGATTACATATTTCCTTTGAATCAGAACTTCATAAAATATACCTCAATGAAAACTACTAGAAAAAAAATATTAACTTGTAGATGATCCAGAAAGCTCTCTGAGAACTCGGACTATCTCATTAACAAATATCAATTGAACAAGAACCATCATTGAGCCTCATCCTTATCAATGCAGAAAGGGGAGGAGATGAAGCTGAATCTGTGCTAATTCTGTGTTGGGACCTGCTGCCAAAAACTACAGAGACCCTACTCCTATGTGTTCTTCCCCAGCCAAGTTATTCTCATAAAGCTTTATAGTGATGGAGGAATCTACTGCAATTGTCCAATGTTAGTCTCAACAGAAGATCTATTAATAAAACAGTCTTCAAGAAATCACACAGTCAAACACAACCTTGAAGAGAAAGTACATGATGAAATATATATATGTATATCCCTTCCTTACCCTGAAATGCTCCACCAGCATGCTAAAAGATCTGGTGATCCCAGGACAAAATGCAGTATGCACAAACTTGCAAATGTTTCTTTACATTTCTGTCACAGGACTCCCTTGCTCCAATGATTGCAATGGCTTTTTACTGCTTGGTAAAATATTTAAGGTCCTTAGCAATCTGACTCGAATCTTCCTTTGCTCTTGTATCACCCTACTAGTCCCAATTACAAACTCTTCCATCATGCAGACTGTTCTCATTCTTTAACCTTATTCCTTGACTCCAATTCCCTTTCTTCCCACATATTCAACATCTATAAACCTTTTACATTTTACCTCAATTCCCATCTATGGAGTTGCCTTTACCAATCACTCTAATACACAGTTATTTTTCACTCCAAGAGAATTCAGAGGTATGTCTGTATCACTATCCTGAATTCAATTACACACTATTCTTGTCTCTTATTTTGTTACAAAAAGTTGTTTCTCAAACTACTGCCTTGGGAAAAGGACATAGTTTTACACATGGCAGGCACTCAAAAAATTACCATGCTATAATGGATTTCTTGCTTTAACAGGACAACACATGAACTTTGATTGTAAAATTTTGAGACCAATTTACACAGCTACACAAGAAAACCATTCATTGAGCAAATATATATTAAGTATTCACTGTATGCTAGACATTGTTTCTAGGTTAGGAGACCAGAAATAAACAGACAAATTCCTGTCCTTAAGGAGGGCATACTCTAGTGGTGGTAAGAAAAACAACAGATAAAATATACAGAATGTTGAATACTGTTAAGTTCTATTGTTAAGTAGACAGACTTATGAGAAAGAGGGGTATTTCATTTTAGATATGGGGGTCAGGGAAGGACTCACTAAAAAGATGACACTTGACCACATACCTAAAGAAGATCAGGAGCCGACTATGCAGATATGCCTACTGTGAAGGAGATTAACATGGCTCAAGAGGAGATGAGATTAGAGAAGTAACAGAATCAGAGAGGTGGCCATGTCCAGTAGGGAACTGTAATTAAGGCAGGAGAAGAGATCCAAAGATTGAGTTCCAATCAGAAGAGGTCAAGAGAGGAGAGGGCTTCCCTGGTGGTGCAGTGGTTAAGAATCCACCTGCCAATGCAGGGGACACGGGTTTGAGCCCTGGTCTGGGAAGATCCCACATGCCGCGGAGCAACTAAGCCCGTGCACCACAACTACTGAGCCCGTGTGCCACAACTACTGAAGCCCACGCACCTAGAGCCCGTGCTCCGCAACAAGAGAAGCCACCGCAATGAGAAGTCTGCGCACCGCAATGAAGAGTAGACCCCGCTTGCTGCAACTAGAGAAAGCCTGGGCACAGCAGCGAAGACCCAACACAGCAATAAATAAAATAAAATAATTTATTTAAAAAAAAATAGAAGAGAAGAGATTCCAGCAGTGGCACGATACTGAGAAGGAATGACCATTAAAAAGAAATCCAGGGACATGTGGTAACTGGAAGCCAAGCACAGAGAGTGTCTCAAGGAGGGGGCGGATAATCAACTGTGTTAAATAATGTGACACGGACCGAGAATTGGTCCCTGGATTTATTGCTTCATGACTATGACAAGAGCAATCTGGTGCAGTGGTGGGAGTGAAAACCTGACTGGTGGGAGTGAAAACCTAAAAGGTTTATAGATGTTGAATATGTGGGAAGAAAGGGAATTGGAGTCAAGGAATAAGGTTAAAGAATGAGAAGTGGAAGGAAAGGAATGGATTCTGTGCCTACAGATAATTATGTCGAAATTCCCTGTGAAAGGAGCAGAGGAATGGGATGGCAACTGCTAGAGCAAGTAGGGGTTGAGAAAGAGAGCTTTTAAATGATGGAAGCAAATCCACTTAAGACTCTGGGAAGGAAAACTAAACTCAGCAAAATGAGTCTGTCAGAGGATCTGATGAACTGAGGACACTGGGGGATTTGAGAACAGGTCACTGTAAATACTCATTTTTGTCATTAGAAACTGTCCACAAAATAATTTAATAAACTACTATTTTTACATTAAACCTTTCATTTAAAAAAATGCAAATGAATATTTATTTTAAATGGGAATTGTCAGATAGATATCTATGATTTCATACCGTTGAGTTTTAGCTGATATTTCTCAACTATCTTCAGAAGTTCAGTGCATGTCTCTTGAATGGAGTGAAAAACCTTTGAAATATAAATTTTATTAGGACAATGTAAAGAACCATAAACAAATATAAAATATTTAAAAAGCACTTCAAAAGCAAAACATTTTCTTATAAGTATTATGTCTATTTTCCTTGACTGTGATATACTTCAGTTTTGATTTTATTTCAGGCGTAGAAAAAGCACATTTAGATTTCCCCCATGAGGGTTGGAAGAAATGGTGATAAATACATGGGAACTAATAAAAATTTATAACTGTGGAATTTGTCCTCCCCTCAGCTCCAAACTGTCTAAATAGCAAAAATGTAAATCTAATATAAACTACATCAAACATTGCTTACCACTGATGAAAAGAGTATAGATAGCCTTAGAAAACACTAACTAACTCGGAGTCTGACTTTTCTCCAATACCGGTCTAAGCAAAACAGGTCAGTGAGTTTACCATAAAAATTAAATAATGTGTTACAACATCAAAAATAAATTACTTTTGGATTATTTTTGTTTAGAATTTTCCATGAATATTAATCCCTTCATTATCACTGCTGCTAATAGCTAACAAAAAAATAAAATATCCAGTAGGCTCCCATTTCAAAGCAAGTGAAAATTTGAGATCAGGACACATACACGTGAGGTAACTCTTCACACATATCTATACATTTAGGTTTTCCCAGAGAAAGAAGCCAGCATGGGTTTTAGGGTGCAGCCTAAAGAAGACTCACAAAGTCCTTCGCTGAAGAGTTGCTATGAGACTTTAGTTCAAAAAGACCTTGGCACTGTGGTACAATATTAGGCCCTAATCCTTTGAGATTATCAAATGAACTTCCAATATCACCATTAAGCCTGAATGATCTATCTCTGATGTAGTTTTGTTGTTATTTTGATGTTTGATCAGATCGAAGGAAGACTGATAACAGACACTAAAATCTAAGTGGAGGAGCAACCATCAATTTTCCACGTAAGTTTAAGTATGTTTGAATTACACTTGGTATATGGATTTGGCAATCTAAAAAGCATTTTAAATCCATATGGAAGGGGATTAGAAAAGAATACAAAAATGATAGTTCTGTTATGATGAAGTGATTATGATTTTTTTTCCCATGGGTCCTTGGAAGATTTACATACTATTGCTTTTCACTGTTATAATAAAAATATCTTTTTCAGTTTTAGTGAGATATAATTTGACAAACAAAACTGTAATATATTTAAAGTGTACAACATGATAATTTAAGTATGCATACTTGTAGGTATACTTAAAATGAAACTATTTCTCATTCTTAAAAAAATTAGTACAATTGTGGGAGAAAGTTCTTGATTGATTCCAAATATTTGTCTAATGGACAAGAATTACACTGAATATAAAATGTCACCCACACATTACCTAATAATGTGAAACAATACAAAAAAATATACATCTGTGGGAATATATGTAGCAACAGTGAAGAGTTCCCCTGGTGCTAAAACATATTACTTAAAATAAAGTCCCTTCATTTTTTTTCCATATTTGTCACTGAATCCTAAGAATAATACTTTTCAACACAAATTGTACTTTTCAACACAAAAAGTTTGTTAAATAGAAGTAATTTCTATTTCCATATTTGTTAGGGCAATTACGAAAGTTTATTTTCTGCAGAATAAAATTACTTAGTAGATTAAGACCTATTTAATTAGACCTCTATTTAAAAATATTTAAGAATATTTAAGAATCCCAACAGATTACTACATTCCAAGCGTAACAGAACTCCTGCCTGGAAATGTTTGTAAAAGTTACATTAGTATATGTACATGGAATTAGCAAATCTGCATTTAAAAATCTAGATTTTTTTCATTAACGTACATGAGAACTTCCTTCTAATTAGCTTAATTACTTAAAAGCATTTAAAGTTTAAAGTTGTTTCCTGGTAATTAGTCCTTTTATTTAAAATGAAAAACAGAACCAAAAATGCATATGACATACTTCAATTAACTCCACCCCTTAATAATAGAAACAAAAACTCCAACTTGTAAAATCCTCACTCACTATTTGATTTCAGTTAATGTATTGCAGTGAGTTATAGACTTCAGATAAAATAGTACAAAATATTATGACATGATACATAATGAGTATATGGTCCCAATTAGAAATATAATTAATTCATTAACATGGCATAAAAATTACAATACTTGTGCCAGAGAAATTACTTAGTTCATGATTTATCTAATTTATGAACACCAGTTCTGCCAATCCTCAATCTGTGAGAATTATGATCTATCCAGAAGATCTGATTGATAAATGGATACAATTATTCTATTATCAAGTTTTGCATTTATCCCGATAAGTTCTTCAGTATGAAAGCTTGTCATAGTCCTCTTAGTCATCCTAGATAATAACAAGTTATATGCAGTACACAGAATCCTAAAATTTACCTCAAGTTTAGCATCCAGTTCAGCATCAGATGCCACTACGTGCTCATCCTCCTTTTTCCCGGTTGCTTTGATGAAGACCTGTTTGGTTTTCCAGTATTTCTTTTGCATTCTGCTGACTACTGACTGGTTATCTTCTGGTCTGGGTTGCCCAAAAAAATCCATGGAGTGACTACAAGAAATAACTAAAATTAAATTTCTTAAAAAATATTTTCAATAATAAATATCTATTTAGCCAATATTTAATCTAACTGAAAAACTGAAAAAGATACTAAATTGAATATTAATGTTGACAGCTAAACATGCTAATGTTTACTTTGTATGGTCTAAATTTATGTTTTAATTATAACTTGCACAAGTAACAGGCAAAAAGATTAATGATACATTAATTAGGTGACAAAGTGATAAAACTGTTATGATTTTGCAGTAATGGCTGGAAATAATTTTATTTTGTTCGACCAATCTCTATTTGTAGACACTTATTAGTTTCTGATTTTTGCTTTTGTAATAATACTGAAAAATGAACCTGTACACACATCTTTGCATCCTGCTATCATTTCCTTAGGAAAACTTCCTACGGATTAACTGCTATGTCAGAAGAATACACATTTAATATATACCCTCAGATATGCAAAGATTCAGATATATACTCTTCTTTAAAAATCACTTAAAGAATATAAATATAAAATATAAAATACTTTAGTATCCAATAAATTAACAAAAATAAAGATCTTAAGTATAAGGGAGATATGTTATAAAAGAAATAGAGATGAAAATTATAACCTTTTGTAAACTTAGAAATTAATGTCTAAGTAACTGTTCTTAACATGGTTAACATGGCTACATTAAGGAAATGCAAATGTGAAAAGTGTTCATTAATGAAATGTAAAAAAAAGAAATAATAATAATAGTTTTAAAAGCCCAGACTATTCCAATAAATGGTGGGAGGTAGGAACAAAGGGAGGTACTAAAATATGTGACTCATTTCCAGGGGAATCAATAGATAACTAATGTATTCTTAATGTTGGTAAAGAAATAGAAGTTCACTTTCTTTTTATTTTGAAATTACTAATCAAATAAAAATAGGATGTCTAATTTCTAAGTTATTAGGAGCAAAACAAGAGAACGAGAAAAACCAGCAAAAGCAAAAGAAGACTGGAAAAACAGGAGTAAGGCAACATAACAAATTGTGTAAACTAAGATGACAGAATAAGAACAATTATATTATTTACTATAATAAATGAAAACTTCTTCTTAAATACAAAGAATCTCAAATCATAAAAAATAAAACAGTATATACAATTATATGCTATTTGGGATCCGCTTAAAACAAAACGATAAAGAATTATGGGTTAAGATATACCAGGTAGGGACTTCCCTGGTGGCTCAGTGATTAAGAATACGCCTGTCAAAAAGAAAAAAAAAAAGAATACGCCTGTCAATGCAGGGGACACGGGTTCGATCCCTGGTCCTGGAAGATACCACGTGCCATGGAGCAACTAAGCCCGTGCGCCACAACTACTGAGCCTGTGCTCTAGAACCCACAAGCCACAACTACTGAAGCCCGCGCACCTAGAACCTATGCTCTGCAACAGGAGAAGCCACCGCAATAAGAAGCCTGTGCACTGCAATGAAGAGTAGCCCCAGCTCGCTGCAACTAGAGAAAGCCCGCATGCAGCAACAAAGACCCAGTGCAGCCAAAAATAAATAAATAAAATAAATTTATATAAAAGAAGATATACCAGGTAAATATAGTAGAAAGAAAATGAAAGCAGGGGTAGCCACATTAATATCAGACAAAGTAGGTTTAAATAAAAAGCATTATAGGGCTTCCCTGGTGGCGCAGTGGTTGAGAGTCCGCCTGCTGATGCAGGGGACACGGGTTCGTGCCCTGGTCCGGGAAGATCCCACATGCCGTGGAGCGGCTGGGCCCGTGAGCCATGGCCGCTGAGCCTGCGTGTCCAGAGCCTGTGCTCCGCAACGGGAGAGGCCACAACAGTGAGAGGCCTGCATACCGCAAAAAAAGAAAAAAAAAGCATTATATAGAACAAAGACAAAATGTAAAGTCCACAGGTGGCCACTCTTCCAGATATTTGCTGGCTATTCTCCTTTGGATATCCTCCTGGATTCCTGGACAGTATAGATTAATTATCATTTAACTGTAGCACCTCTCATGTGCTATGCTGGTAACTGGGTTGGACATAATTTGGCATAGAAAATAGTACAGGGGGGTAATGGATTTGATGTAAGCATTATACCGTCTGACAGAAAGTCTTGCGGGAAAACTTGCAGTTTATCTTTCCCCTCCAATTTCTGTCTGCTTTTGCTTGCTTTTGATGGTTTTCAATTAGTGTTCCCCTCCAGATTGTTATCAGCATGAGGGTCAGTCCAACTGTATGACAAACTGCTGATCTCTTCTACTAAGCTGACGTAGGCTTAGGCCCAATCAGTTAAGAGAACAAACTTCTTAGGAGTATCAGAAGAGAACATCTCTTCCCCACCTCGACTCACTTTGCTGATGTAGCTTGAACAGTATACTCCTGGCCTCTCTCCACTCCCTCACTAGCTCCTTCATACGCAAGGAAGAGTAACTTATCTGATTGGATTTGAGAGCAATAAACTGAGTCCTCCCCTTCCTCTCTGAAATCTATCCTGCCTGCAGAGAGCACACATTCCCTGGCAAGGGGAGGACAGTGACTGGGTGGGTAAATCTGCGAAAGGTGAGATTTGTACATTTGCATTTTTTGGTGGAGGGCACTGCTAAATCTGCTTGCCACTGGGGGTAGGTTGAGTAGAAAGCCAAGTCTTACTGGCTTGACATCATCAGATGACAGAGCTCAAGGCTGGAGAACTACCAGAAATTTAGGAAGAATATCATGGAAGGGAGGGAGCCAAAGAGGAGACGATCTCTGTACACAAAGAGCTCCCAAGACCTGTGCTGTTCACTAAACTAATCATGAAGTGAAGGAGGGGACCCTAGGGGTCCTCGCAGAAAATCAGCAGCTAGAAACTGAAGTAAAGGTTTCAACTGCTACCACTACAGTGGAGACAAGAGTCTGGAATTTGAATTCAGTCAAGTTAACTGCCTTCTAGAATAAAAATTATTTTTCAGAGAAGCAAAACAGAATTCAGAGTCTCTAAAATCCATCATTTAAAAAGGCAAGTATCGGGCTTCCCTGGTGGCACAGTGGTTGAGAGTCAGCCTGCCGACGCAGGGGACATGGGTTCGTGCTCCGGTCCGGGAAAATCCCACATGCCGCGGAGCGGCTGGGCCCGTGAGCCATGGCCGCTGAGCCTGCGTGTCCGGATCCTGCGCGTCCGGAGCCTGTGCTCCACAACGGGAGAGGCCACAAGAGTGAGAGGCCCGCGTACCGCAAAAAAAAACCCCACAAAAACAAAAAACAAAAACAAAAGTCAAGTATCCAACTAAAAAACACTAGACATGCAAAGAAATAGGAAAATGTGACCCATACTCCATGAAAAAAAGTCAGTAAAATAGATTCCAAAGATTTCTCAGATATTACAATTATCAGACAAGCACTTTAGACCAGCTATTATAAACATGTAAAAGACTTAAAGTAGGATATGTGCACAATAAATGAATAGACAGAAAATATCAAAAGAAAACAAGTGAAAGTTTCAAGTTGCAAAGTTCAATAAATGCAATTAAAAACTGACTGGATACTCTTAAGGATAAACTGAAGATGGGAGATATAAGAAGTGAAGCTGAAGATGAATCAATAAAAATTACCTAATCTGAAGAACAGAGAAGAAAAAAAAAAGACCCTGAAGGAGAGGAGGAATAGAAGGGGAATGAAAAATATCTGAATAAAACATCCTAGGGCTTCCCTGGTGGCGCAGTGGTTGAGAGTCCGCCTGCCGATGCAGGGGACACGGGTTCGTGCCCCGGTCCGGGAGGATCCCACATGTGGAGCGGCTGAGCCGCTGAGCCTGCACGTCCAGAGCCTGCGCGTCCGGAGCCTGTGCTCCGCAATGGGAGAGGCCACAACAGTGAGAGGCCCGCATAACGCAAAAACAAAACAACAACAACAAAAATCCTAATTTTGTAAATGACATTAACTTATAGACTGATAAACACAAGGAAAACCACAAATAGGCACATCATAGACCAACTGCTTCAATTCAAAGATAAAGAGAAAATCTATCTCGAAAGCAGAGAAAAATGGTATATTACACAAACGGGAACAAAAATATAAATAAGATGGAAGCTCTCAACAAAAACAACAAAAGCCGGACTACAGTGGAAGGACATATTTAAGGTGTTGAATGAAAGAAAGAAAAACTATCAACTCATAATTCTCTACTGAAACTGTCCTTTAAAACTGAAATCAAAATAAAGCCATTTTCAGATAAAGAACTGAGACAATTCATGGCCAGGGGACTTTTAGAAATGCTAACAAATTCTACAGGCTGAAGGGAAATTACAACAGTAATTTATCTATAGGAAAGAATGAAGATGACTGGAACTGGTAAATGTCTGGGTAAACATAAGACATTTTTCTTTCTTAATTTCTTCAAAAGTTATATATAGTTTAACATATGCAGACAACAATAAAATGATAGCTCAATCATCCCAATATTCTGTCATTTCTGTGTCATTTATACCTTCACCTATTCCCTACCACCTTACTCCATAATCATTATCATCATCAACATTTTATATGGTTATTTTTGATAATATTTACATACAATGAAATGTACAATTTTTAGCTGTATACTTTTGACAAATAGGTATTATGGTATAGAACATTTCCAACTCCCCAGAAAGTTCTCTTGTATCCCTTTCCAGCCAATGCCTAGCCTACCATAAATAATAAATGTTTTGATTTTTTTTCACCTTAGTTTTTCCTTTCCTAGTTTCTTCTTTTTTATCGCTGAACAGTAATCCATTGTATGAGTGTTAACAGTATGCTTTAATTTTTCACTACTGTAAATAAATCTGCTATGAATATGCCTATACAAGTCTCTTGTGGACAAATGTCTTCACTTCTCTTCAATAAAACCTAGAAATGGATTTTTCTCTATCAAAGGATTGGTGTACTCTTTATAAAAAATTGCTGTTTTACATTCCCATTAGCAATGTATGGGAGTTATAATTGTTCCACAACCTCAATAACATTTAACGTTGGCAGACTTTTTAGTTTTATCCAT